TAAAGCGAAAAATACGGTATATTACTGCTAACAGTAATGAAACCTAACATTTTCAATAGTTTGTGCCCAGAGGCTGCTTTGAAGTGTCCCTAGTTGTCATAAACATCTGTGCTGTAACAAGCATTTTTGTGGATGGGGGCTTTGCTCTGAGGCTCCCCACCCCCGATTTGTGGATGCCTTTGCGTTTCATGCTTATGGCAACAAATGAAATTAAACGGTAATTTCATTGCTATTGCTATTGTTATTGCTGTTTCGATCAAAACAACCATCTGAAGGCAATTTGCACCGGAAATAATTCAAAAGCGGCTAAAAACAGACACATCCAAAACAAGAATAAAACCATACAAAGTGGGCATTCATTGTAAAGGGCCCACTTATTCAGCTGACAAAGTCTTTCAGAGCAAACATGTCTTCAATTGTTCCCGAAAAGTGCAAATAGTAGGTCCTGTCATAGCCATCTCCTTTCTACCCCACCTTCAAGATCAAAAGCTCTTTTTAAGAAACGCTTCCTGTAACATGATGAGTTGAAAGCTATTTTGATCCAAGATTACTGCCTGGTGAGTATTTTGATGGAGAAAGATGGCTAAGCCTTAGCTTGTTTTAAAAAAGGAGCCCTGGGAAATCTGCAAGCAAGCCTTACATAAGGTTGGCTTGTCTGTCCCCTCCGAAGCATCTTTGTCTGCCACTTTTTCCACACAGGTCATTCAACAGGCAAGTGTCTTAAGCAGAGATAGTAGAAGGGCCAAAGGCATTGAAATTCTTTTGAGAATAGGGGGAGCACAAGAGGCTACTCTTTGGTCTGGGATGCAGCTAATGCATAATGCTGTGGCTAGACAGATGATTAGAACAGATTGACACCAACACATGACAGTGGTTTTAAAACACCTGTGCCCAGCGCAAAGTTGTTGGCGGATGCAAAATTACAATACCTGCTGCTGCCTCAATACAGCTGCACACTTCCATCGCTGGGCTCCATTGAAAACAGCTTCTCCATGCAGCATGCCCAACCTATGTCTCCATCCTGAAACACCTGCACAAGATGAGTCAAATCCAGTTTCTCAATTTCTATGCAGTGGCAGCCAATTATTTATTTATTTTTAAAGATATTTATTAAAGTTTCAAACAATAAAACAAGCTTCACAAAACAGGGTACAAAAGAAGAAAAAAAACACCATCACCTTCTATCCAAAAAACAGAAAAACACAATAAGAAAAAAGAAGGGGAAAAAAAGACATAAAAGAAAACACATAGAAAAAAGACCGGTTTCTTAAATATTATTCTCATAATCTTCCTTCCAGACTCCCTCACATCTCCCTTCTCTGTGTTCCCTTTTACACAGTCTTATTCAGCAATACCTCACCTTCTTTCAAATCTTGTTTCATATTATACATTTCAACTATTATGCCTCTAATTTTTCACCATTTTTCCATGTTATTTAAGTTTGACATAATATTATTCTGACTTCACCTTTGTTCTGTAAACCATTTTTTACATACTCCTTTCAGCTATATCACTAATACCATATTATCTTTATATCCTGCATCCTTCTAACATTCATACAATTTACAATACTTTTGCAAGTAATCTTTAAATTTCTTCCAGTCCTCTTCCACTAGCTCTTCTCCCAGGTCTTGGATTCTGCCGCAGTGGCAGCCAATTAAACACCGCCTCCTGCACCAAAATTGCTCCCTTATCCTTCCTTAGGAACCCACCTGTGACACCTCTGTTGCTGCCACCAAGATGTTGCTCCTGAATATCTCAATCAGAGACCACGAAGGCATCTCTAGGAGAGGAGCACCTCAAGCTGGGGCTTGCTGATGAAAAGACATCTCAGAAGTATAGCTGCTCTTCATCTTGTTTCTGGAGGAGATTCTGCTCTTCACAGTTTAGGACCAAGAGGGATTTTTCAGTTGATGGCTGATCCACTGGCTGAGAGTCAAGAGCCCTTTAGCTCTCGACTCCAGCTCACACCTCTGGGCAGTGGCTTCTAGCTACCCAAGGGCTGGGAGGAGCAAACAAGAAGCTCAGGAAGCATGCAGAAGACTTTTGGGCTGGGGTGCTGTTTGTGGGGTCTTGTGGAGAGGGGGTTGCTGCTGCTGGGTTTTTGTGTCTTTATTTTAGATCTTGTTGCGATATATGTGGAAATTGTTCGGTTTGGTTTGTATTTTTTAATTGTTTAATTATTGTTTATGACTACTTTTGTTGTGTTGCAGTTATGTGCTGCATTTTTATTATTATTAGATTTTCCACAATGATAACACAAACTTATGTGCTGTATTTTTGTTTAAGCCACCTTGAGCATGGTTTGAACTGTGGAAAGGCAGCATACAAATAAAATTATGTATGTATAAATGTATGTATGTACACATGTATGTATTTCCCTGGGCGTTTTACTCTGGGATTTAGTTTCCTGGGAATGAGGTTACTGGAGAATGAATGGCATAGAGCAATATTTCTATTTATTTATCTACAAACATTTAAATTCTGCTTAATGTTTCATAAATCTGCAAGTGGCGTACAGGCAAAAAGCAAATATACCATTAAAAGAAAGGGTTGTAACCAACTAGAGTAAACCTACTGAAACCAATGGAACTACATTAGTCATTCACATTAACTTCAATGGGTCTACTCTGAGTTGGAATAGCATTGGCTGCCACCCAAAAACACAACCTAAAACCCAGTAAACAAGCAATATAAAAATGCATAAAAGCAAATCAACAAGAAATCCAGAGATTCAAATACATACACTTTGTTTTATACAGTTATGCAGGTTGAGTAGAAGTGGAAATGAACAGCATTAGGCCTGCAATGGATGTCTCAAAGTTCTCTCTAAAATAATCCTTTTAGAGAGCCCAATTTGTCTCTCTTTTCAATCAATCAAAAACAGCCACTGGCTGCTTGCTCTGTTCTCTCTAACATTAGTACCATATTTGTTCCCTTTCAATGGCTAATTGGGGGAATAAGGATGAATCATTGCTGCTCATCACATGGGCCTTCCTGGGTCATGTTGGTTTCCATTGACTTTCAAATCAGCTGAAAGTCAAGGGCTGTACAAAATATTTTGTCTGTACTTTAGTGATATATTGCTGCAGGTCACCAAACCCACGCACAGAAATATTAGATTTAAGAACCATTCTGGGAACCGCCCAGACCAAACACTCACACATGCTTCCATTAAATATATATATACATACCAGGAACCGTTCTAGTGCCATTTCATAAACAACAGTCACAAAACAGGAGAAGGCAGAGAAGAGGACAATTAAAATGACCTTCCAAAAAAAGGTTGTGATGGCTACCAACTCAGATTGCTTTAAAAGGTTAGACAAATTCATGGAAGATAAAGTTACCAACCACAATAACTACGTCAGAGGCACCATCTTCCGAAGAACATTGAGGGGACCTAACGCGATGTGCTGATGTTATGTACTGATGTTCTCACCCTGGGGCAGCAAGGGGATACTGTAGATAGTTATGCAAACAAGGTATCGAAAGTGACGTTCAGTGATTGGATAGTTTTAGAAAATTATTACCGTTACATTGTACTGGAGCTCTATATAAACAGGCTGACTGAACCCTTCAGTTCAGTTCTGTTCTGGCCTGTGAATAAACAAGAGCTGTTTGAAGAATCGCTGTGTCGTCTGATATGTTCACCCACAATCTAACACTGCCAACGAGGGTGGGATGGATGGACAACAGAGCACAGCCAGATGCAGCCACCCTCTGAGCGGAGTTGAATCACTGAGCTGAAACACCGAGCGAAATCACTGAACAGAACCAATTCAGAGGTAACTGTTCTGGCTAGAGCACTGTGTTCCATCCATTGCATCCACATCGGCATCGGAACCATGGCTTCACTTGTGCCACCTTTTGCGCCAGCCTCTGAATCATGGGACTCCTACCTTGCTCGGTTTGACTGCTACCTCCAAGCCAATGAGCTGACGGAAGTATCACAGGAGCTTAAGCGGGGCCTATTCCTCAGCCTCTGTGGGCCTGAGGTGTTTGAGACGGCCCGAGCATTGCTTGCACCTGAAGCAGTCCAGGCAGCACCGTGGGACACGATTCAAGAGAAGCTCTGCAACCACTACGCACCAAAGCCATCCAAGATTGCTGCCCGCCATGCGTTCTACCACCGGAACCAGGCAGAGGGGGAGTCAATTAACAACTACACCGCCGCCCTCCGACAGGCTGCAATGCACTGCGAGTTCAGAGACTTAGATGATGCCCTGATGGATCGAATCGTCTGCGGGGTCTGGGACATCCATCTGCAACGGCGTCTCCTCGCCAAGCCAGACCTCACACTGCAGAAAGCCATTGAGGAGGCCGTGGCCTCAGAAGCTGCCAAATGCTCCACCCAGGAGATCTGCAAGGCCAGCAGCCTGCATCTTGCTAGGAAGCCAGTTCCAGTGCATCATGAAGAGGCCAGCAGTGATGAGGCATCCTCCAGTGAAGACGATGACGTGCACCAGACAAAGCGGGAGCGCAGGAAGTTCCAAAAGAAGTCCAAGGGCCAATCGGAATGTGCCGGCTGCGGAGGCAGCCATTCCCGTGCCAAGTGTCGATTCAGAGATGTCATCTGTCGGACGTGTTCCAGAAGGGGCCACATCGCTAAGGTCTGCCGATCGGCTCCGTCTGACATCCCCCCTCCAACGACTTGCAAGTCCAAGTCTTCACTCCAGTCCGCCAAGGAAAGCTGTTTCGCTCTCACCAACTGCCACTGCCCGTCTGGAACCACGATTGGCCAAACCGACTTGCCTATGCGATGCAAGTTGAATGTCACTGTGCTCATTGAAGGAGCTCCATGTGACATGGAGATCGACACCGGGTCTGCCCTGTCCATCGTGTCTTGGAGCACCATCAAAAGACTGGTACCCAGAGTGTCCAAAAGGCAACTCGACTCTCACCACATACAACTGAGAGACTACCAGGGAAATGACATTCCTATGGTAGGCGTTGGCCGGTTCCGGATCGCCTTCAAGGATTTTTCGGGCCTGCTCCGACTGGTGGTGGTCGAAGGTCAGCAGCCAAGCCTCCTAGGGCTAGACTGGTTTGATGCCCTCGGCCTGGAAGTCACCGGCATCAACTGCATCTCTAATGCAGAGACTGAGGGTCTGGTCAAAGACTTTGCCGAGGTTTTTGAAGGCACTTTGGGTCAATATACAGGTACACCCATCTCCTTTAGCCTTGATCCACAAGTCGCCCCCATCAAGCTAAAGCCACACCGGGTTCCCTTTGCTCTCAAGGCTAAGGTGGACGAACAACTGGACAAGCTGATTGCCCAAGGAGTTTTGGAGCCAGTTGACCACTCCAAGTGGGAAACCCCCATCGTCACGCCTGTCAAGCCGGACGGTTCGGTGAGAATCTGTGCCGACTACAAGTGCACGATCAATAAGGCACTTCAGCAGCACGCTTATCCGGTTCCTGTTGTCCAACACCTGCTGCATTCCCTGGGTGAGGGTGAGGTCTTCGCTAAGCTGAACCTTGCCCAAGCCTATCAACAACTGCCCGTTGATGATGCCACCGCTGAAGCCCAGACGATCATCACCCACCGAGGGGCATTCCGCTGCCGCCGTTTGCAGTTCGGGGTGAGTGTGGCGCCTGGCATCTTCCAAAGCCTTATGGAGTGTCTCCTGCAAGGGCTTTCGGGCGTGGTACCATATTTTGATGATGTCTTGGTGTCCGCAGACTCACACCAGCAGCTGTTCGAGCGCCTTCGCACAGTGCTGACCAGGTTCCAGGAGGCCGGGCTCAAGGTAAAGAGGGAGAAGTGCCAGATTGCCGTTCCACAGGTGGAGTTCCAGGGCTATCTGATTGACGCCTCTGGCCTTTACCCGACCACATCCAAGATCCGCGCTATCCAGCAGGCCCCCATCCCAAAGAACAAGATGGAGTTGCAGGCGTTCCTAGGACTGCTGAACTTTTATAACATGTTCCTGCCCCACAAAGCCACGGTGGCTGAGCCTCTTCACCGACTCCTCAGCACGAAGACACCTTGGTCCTGGGGTCTTCAGGAGATGGCAGCCTTCAATGCAGTCAAGGCTCTCCTTTCATCAGACAGTGTGCTGGTACAGTACAGTGAAGCCAGGCAGCTGGTTCTTGCCTGCGACGCCTCACCTTTTGGCATCGGCGCTGTCCTTAGTCACCGTTTTCCAGACGGAAGAGAAGCACCACTCGCCTACTTTTCCAGGACGCTATCTCCGACGGAACGGAATTACAGCCAGCTCGACAAGGAGGCACTGGCACTTGTGGCTGGAGTGAAGAGGTTCCATGAATACCTCTATGGCAGGACTTTTGACCTCATCGCCGACCACAAGCCTGGGCCTCCTTGCTGGTGATCGACCAACTCCACCAGTCCTCTCACCACGCATGCTGTGACGGACTGTTTTCCAGGCTGCCTACCACTACCAGCTCGTCCATCGCCCGGGGAAATCGATGGGCCATGCCGACGCCCTCAGCCATTGCCCTCTTCCAGCATTTGTGGAAGACCCGGCTCCTGCTTCATCGGTCCTCCTGATTGAGGATCTTCCGGCAGCGCCTGTATCGGCTACCACTGTGGCCTCTGCATCTGCCCAGGATCACACCATCAGCCTTGTGCTCAACTGGGTGTGGAGGGGGTGGCCACAAGGGTCTTTTGCATTGGAATTCCAGCCGTTCGCAACCAGACAACACGAACTCTCAGCTCATTGTGGCTGTCTGCTGTGGGGAGACTGCGTCGTGATTCCTCAAAGACTCCGTCAATGTGTCCTTGAGGCTCTGCACATTGGCGACCCGGGAATCGTTAAAATGAAGGCATTGGCTCGTTGTTCCGTCTGGTGGCCTAACATGGACGATGCCATCACTGCCTGGGTTTCCGCCTGTCAAGCGTGCCAAGAATTGAGGCCTGCGCAACCGGCAGCTAAGGGACACACCTGGGAGACGCCCAAGACACCCTGGTCGAGGGTGCCCATCAATCTGGCCAGCCCCTTTCACAGCTGGACCTTTATGGTAGTGGTGGATGCCTATTCCAAATGGCTGGAGGTGGCCCTGATGCCCTCCACCACTACCGAGGCCGTCATCCGGGTGCTGCAAGGCCTCTTTGCGACACATGGGTGTCCTGATGTCCTTGTCTCTGACAACGGACCACAGTTCACGTCAGGCACTTTTGAGCTGTACCTTTTGGGACTGGGTATCTGCCATGCTCTAACGGCACCATTTCATCCATCCAGCAACGGGCAAGTGGAGAGAATGGTGCGTTCAGCAAAAGAGGCACTGGGGCGGCTGGACCAGGGAGACTGGCACGAGCGGGTCACTGAATACTTGTTCGTGCAACACATCACCCCTCATGCGGCCACAGAGGCGGAGTCCTGCCGGACTGCTTATGGGCCGCCGCCTCAGGTCCCCACTCAACCGGCTGCACCTGGATTTTGCCGTGGCTGAACACCCAGGCTGTGCCAACGTGCCACGGTCATTTGTTCCAGGAAACCAGGTCTTTGCCCGGAACTTTGTGGGAGACATTCCTTGGGTGTCAGCCACAGTAGTGGGAGTCACTGGACCTCGCTTGTCCCAGGTGGCACTCGAAGATGGACGCTTGTGGCGCCGGCACATAGACCAGCTTAGGCGCAGGGTTGGGGACTTGGACACAACCGTGGTGCCCCCAACTGCGCTCGTGGCTCCGGAACAGACACTTACAGATGGTGAGACTCCACCTACACCTCTCTCGCAAACTGCGGGCATGGAGCCGAACCAAGCCACTTCAGAGGGTCTGCCGGACTTCCCACAGACTCAGACCACTGCCGTGCCTGACATTCCACCAACTCCACTTGTGGAGGTTCCACCCACAGCAGTGGATCCAGGGGACTTGGTTTCAACGCCACCTAGGGTTGCGCCACAGCCTCAGCAAGAATTGGGCGGCCCCGCGGACTTGGATACCAGTCCCCGGTGGTCTGGCAGAGTTTCCAAGCACCCAACTTATTTAAAGGACTATGTTGTTGGACATGTAACACAGTTCGTCTAATGGAAGTGTGTGAAATGTAACCGATATGCTTTTGTGCCTAATTGAACCATTACGTGTAGTGCTGTATATAAGGAAACCATTACAATTGTAACTAACGCCCTATCTCGGTGGGGAGGGGAGTTATGTACTGAAGTTCTCACCCTGGGCCAGCAGGGGGATACTGTAGATAGTTATGCAAATAAGGGATCAAAAGTGACGTTCAGTGATTGGATAGTTTTAGAAAATTATTACCATTACATTGTACTGGAGCTCTATATAAGCAGGCTGACTGAACCCTTCAGTTCAGTTCTGTTCTGGCCTGTGAATAAACAAGAGCTGTTTGAAGAATCGCTGTGTTGTCTGATATGTTCACCCACAACTTGACAGCTGACATCACACAACGTCCTGACATCACTCTGTGACCAGCTCCTCGTTCAGCCTCAACAATGAGTGGCCCCCTCAAAAAAAAAAAAAAAAAAAGATTGGGGGCCCAAAGAGCCTCTGCCTCCAGGAGCCAGTGCCTTTGGTCAGAGGTGTGGGTGGTATAACCAGCCTCATATAACCAACATGCTTAAGTCTAATTAATGCATGAAGGGATACACTGGTGGAGGAAGGAGGGTGCGGGGGGGTGCAGTGCACACCGGGTGTCAGCTGTGAGGGCGGGTGACATTGCTGCGCCACCCCCACCCCCCGCTCACTGCATGGGCGGCGCCACCAGATGCTCACTGCATAGGCGGTGGGCCGCTAGGGACTATGCTGCCGTGGGCAGCTAGCGGCATGTCCCCCCCAATGCTCACCACATGGGCAGAAGGCAGCTAGGGATGCTCGCCGTGCAGGTGGCTAGCCCCACCTCCCACCACTCCAGGTGCTGGGGCAGGTAGCTCCGCCCCTGAAGGAAGGAACACCAGGCTTAGCTATGTCGGCTTATTGTTGTACCTAGTGTAATCAGCTACGTGGCTCTCACAAGCCTCTATTGAGTTCTATACCAATAATTTAAGAACTTTTATCACTTTGCAACTAGCTGAGTATTACTGCCTGTGCAACTTTTCTGAAACATATGAACCTGACTTTTGAAGAGTATGTAAGTAAACCAATTTTTAAACTTACCAAATGTGGTCATTTTCCTATGCTGTGGGAAGAGGGAAACTTTGGAATGAAACATTTTAGAGGGACATTTTGGAGGGGCACATATTTTAAAGATATAACAGCTTATATTTCCACACTTTACTTTGCTGAATATTTTGTGATTTAAATCTCTGCTGAAGTTCTCTCACCAAAGATTATTTGCCCCAAACTTGGAATTCTCCTTCCTCTCTCTCTCTCTCTCTCTCTCTCTCTCTCTTTCACGCCAATAAAAGAAACTATGCCATGGGTAGGCAAACTAAGACCCGGGGGCCAGATCCAGCCCAATCACATTCTAAATCCGGCCCGCAGACGGTCTAGGAATCAGTGTGTTTTTACATGAGTAGAATGTGTGCTTTTATTTAAAATGCATCTCTGGATTATTTGTGGGGCATAGGTATTTGATCATATATTTTTTAAAAAAATATAGTCTGGCCCCCCACAAGGTCTGAGGGACAGTGCACCGACCCCCCCCCGCTGAAAAAGCCCCCTGCTGACCCCTGAACTATGCCTTTGAATACCAGTTTCTGGGAACTGCAGGTGAGAAGAGCGCTGTTGCAATCAGGTCCTCCTTGCACACTTATCATAGGCATCTGGTTGGCCACTGCTAGAGCAGGATACTGGTCCAGATGGGCCTTGGGCCTGATCCAGCAGGGCTCTTCTTGTGTTCTTAAAATGGACAGGGGAAAGGCACATTGGGGTGTTCAAAATGCCATTTAGAAACAAAAAGCAAAAAGAACACCTTACCTCTTCATTCTAAGAAATTAATCTCCCTCCTATACCTTTTCTTTCCACTCCCATTCGGTTTGTGTAGCCAGAGTCGTAGGGTGGAACTACCTGTTATCTCAGCAAAGGCTTTTCCCCAAACCAGTGGTTGGCTAAGATAGCATGAAAGCAGGTGTAGGGGTTGGGCACTGGAAAGGGTAATCCTGAAAGTGGCGGAATGGTGGAGGGATACTTAACTATTTCAAATTTCTCTTTCACTCTCTCTCACACACAGGGATAACATCCTTAACACCCTTCTATGTGCCCTATCATCAGAAGTGTAACAGAGACACACACTTCTCTGTGGTGCTGAGATTGTGGAAGGCGCTCTCTAGGAATATCTGCTTGGCCACTCCTGAGCTTCCACTTAAGCAGCAGGTTAGTGGGGCTGTGCTCCAATAGGCTTTAATCTTTGGTGGTTGTGGTACACAGGGGAGTCTGGTCTATTAGGACAAACAGGGCACTGCCCCCCACCAACCTCAGCTGGCCCTCAGCCAGCCCCCTCCTACCTGCCTCCTTTTCTTACAAGCAGTCCAGGAAGTTGCACCAATTGTCAGCTCCCTGCTCCCTGTTGGAATTTGGCTCCCTGTTGGAAGCCAAGACCCAAATTTGGGGCAAGTACTCTTTGGTGAGAGAACCTCAGCAGAGATTTAGCATGGCAAAACATGTAGGAAAGAAAAGTGTAGAAGTGTAAGCTAGAAAACCTTGAAAATGTGCCTTTCCAGTGAATTCCAAAGTACAGTGGTACCTTGGTTTTTGAGCATCTTGGAAGTAAAACGTTTTGGTTTTCGAACGCCAAAAACCCGGAAGTAAATGTTTCCGTTTTCGAATGCACCTCGGAAATTGAACGGCTTCCGCTGAGGTACCACTCTATTTTTCTCAATTTTCTCTGTAATTTGCAGACCGCCCTTTGCACCTTGGTTTTCGAATGTTTCAGAAGTCAAATGGTGTTCCAGAATAGATTACATTCAAAAACTGAGGTACCACTGTATCCCACTTCCCTAGCACACAGACCGCACATGCGGTAAGTTATAAAATAGGTTACTTAGAACTAACACTTCAAAGGTCAGATTCATGTGCTATTTCATACCAAGTTGCACAGGCAGTAAAACATTTCTTGGTTACAAAATGCTAAACGTTCCTAAATTATTGGTTTAGGTTTTCAGACTCCATTCTTGTCTAGCACATTCTTTTGTGCTAGCTAGAGGCTGATTAAAGCCATGTTTCCAGAGGGAGCAGCTCAGAGCTGCTCACACAACACATTCAAATGTAGACTGAGTACAACAAAAGGTTTGCTTGCCCATTTCCTCCCAAGCTGAGGGGAAGTGACAGGAGAGCTTACTCTATGACATTATCCCCTTCATGCTTTAGACCCACGGTTCCCAATGTGGGACACATGCACCACAGGGGGGCAATTTGATTTTTAATGGGGGGCAATTTGAGAATGAGTTATTAACAGTTAATGGCCTTTTAGGCTCCCACCATGTGAACAGTTCACTTTTTGAATAATAAGAATTATAGTTCATGAGGGGAGGGGGCATTAGGATTTTAGAGATGCTTAGGTGGGGCATGGCCAAAAAAAGGTTAGAAACCACTGCTTTAGACTCAAGCATGCTGGTTACCTTACACTCCCTGGTCTCAGTGTTACTTTTGTAGAACTTAGTACAGAGAATGGGTGGCTATGCCTGTCATTGACTCTGGCATCACCTACTTTTGGCATCCCTGCTTTCTGCCATATCAGGCACATTGGGCACCAGCCACCACTGTTATTTGCCTTCCTTTTCAATGTTTTATTGCGATTCTTAAGAAGTGGTTTTAAGGTTGCATTGAATTTAATTTTTTACTTGTTTTACTGACCACTTTGTTGTTGTTTTTTTAAATTATTTTTATTGAGATTTTCAATTAAACAGAAAACAAACCAGAACAAACAATCAAAAACTAAAACAAACACTGACCACTTTGGATATGGTATGCAGAATAACAGAATGTAAACTCTCAGCTCTTCTTGCTAAGAGGGAACAGATAGTTATAAAATCTGCCACTGTGAAGCTTACAAAAATAAAGTAATAATCATAATCATAATCCTTCATTTCCACAATCCTATATTTGGGTTCACAACATGTTACCAGGGAAATTATCCTGTGAGGGGAGTCCTTGTGCTGAATTTGTGATAGCGCAATCAAGTCCTGTAGAGGAGGCAACCCTTGGCTGCGTAGGAGGAAATCCTTATTTCAATAGCGCTATCTGCGATATTTGGCAAGAGGGAAGGAAACTAAGAGGTAGAAAACAATACTATATTTGAAGCAGAAGTACACAAGGTACCCTTTAGGAGTACGCCAATTTATTTATCGTGATGTGCTGTGTGAAAGACTCCTGCAATTCACACAATTATTTTGGTGCATGCTGGAATCATTCATAAAGACATTCAGCAATTACTTTGGCCAAGCAGTGATGACTCGCTAATTAAACCACACGGAAAGCCCTTCATTTGTAAAAAGCACAAGGCCATTGCCTCTGATCACAATACCAGAGTCCAAAACAAAAATACAAAGAAATTAAGCCTTTCATATGTGGGTTATTATTGAGACTGAACAAGGTGGATTAAGGGCCTTTTTATATGACCTAGTACTGGGCATCCTATAGTCACAAAAAACGTTAACAGCTGCCATGCTAGATCAAGCTGATGGTCCAACAGGTTCAGCACTTTTCTCTCTTAGTAACCCCAGTATAAGTTTTCAGTAGTGAAAGCAAGAGCCTTTGTCCACTACTGACTCCCACCCAGCAACTGCTATATAGAGGCCTGCTGCTTCTGAACATAGAGATTCTGTGAGGCCAGCTCCCAAACTGCAGCTAGGTGGGTCACATGCAGGATTAAGCTTGAAAAGTGATATTCAATCATGGGCCAGTCCTCTACATTGTGTACAAGGTGGCAAATGCACCCAGTTTGGTGGCCAAAGGGGACAGGGAAATCAGGATATATATCCAGCTGCAAGTATCATTCTCCCCTGACCCAGAAACCACTTGCTGCTCTCGTAATGCTGTCTGCAAAATTGGGAGTGTTGTGATGACAAGATGACTAAACGGCTTTAGACATTGCAGACGCCAAGAGGATATGGATTTAATTTGCACATTTTATGTCCACGGTTCCACCTAGCATACAAAAAGGGAAACTGCTTGAATTTCTGCTCTCATTGTCTTCTGGGTGACATTCTAGACTTTCCCTTTGGAAAGCAAACAGGGCCTCTCAAGTAAGATCCTCTCTAGAGGCAGGGGCTGCCCTCCTCCTTGACAGGACTGGAAGAGCAACCCCTTTACCCCCAAACTTCATGCAAGCAGAAACCTCTGTAAAGGAAAAACCTAGGTCACGTTCACACCAATACATTTAAAGCACATTGCTTCCTCCAAAGAACCCTGGGAACTGTAGCTAAAGATTCTAGGATTTGTAGCTTTGTGTAGGGTAGGCTACTCTCCCATGGTTCTTTGAGAGAAGCCATGTGCTTTGAACGCACGGTGTGGATGTTACCCCAGTGCAATAAGCGCTTTTTCAATAGGTACAACAGAGGCAATAAAAGAAAGATAACTTCCCCAAAGCTTTAGGTAGAAGAGACTAAAAACTATGGGACAGGGAGAAACTGATCCGGGAGTCCCTATGTATCACCCATCCACCCACAATGTGTGGTGAGCCAGAAGCATGGAAAGAGGATCACAATCCACTGAAAACCCAAGTGTGGGTGGAATACCCTGCAGGAGACACAGACAACAGGAATTCAGTGGAAAAAACCTGTTTCTCCTATGACTACTGCAGAATGTCCCAAAACTTTGGGATGTGACAAAGCAATAACACCCCGGGGTGTGCCTTCAGTGGATCCAACTGGTAAATCCTCCCTACAGCCCATGCCTGTCAAACTCCTCATCTGCTAAAGAGAAAGCATCCAATGTGGTGCCCCCCAGATGTTGTTGGACTACAAATACCATCAGTCCCAGCAAGTATGGTCAACAGACATGGGATGGGATGATGGGTGATGGGAGTTTTAGTCCACATCTGGAGGGTATCAATTACCTAGTAGCCAGGGCCTCCCACTCATGGGGCAAAGTGAGGCAGATTTCTCCACAAGGCAGGTGTAGCAGCTGCTCCTCTGATGGATCTCCAGCTATGGCACTTTCTACATTGCATGGGAGGCTAAGGTTATGCAATCATGTAGCCAGCAGAAGAGACCTTCTGCACTGTTGAGAAACAGGGCTGAGCTGGGCATGCAGGGGAGATCCACTGGAGGGTCATTCTCAAAGGGCAGTCTGCTGTCCAGGGGAAGTGACTACTTCAAGCAGCCACAAGAGAACAGCTATCCACACTTTGCAAGATGCAGAACCTAGCAGCACCTCTTGAACTTGTGCATCCTCTTTTCATTGTTTCACCATTATAACCAAACCTCCTTCTCTTGCCCACCAAGGAGGTTGGAAGCAGCTGATTAGGCTAACACCCTAGTTTAGGGTGGTTGTTGTTTTAAAGAACTTGATATAATTTTCCATCAATACATTTATTCTGTATATACAGTAAAACACCAAAAAATAATAATCAAAAATCATAGAATGAGTGGGGTTTTTTATTGAGATAATCCCACAGCTGGAAAAATGAAACATCCTAAATTACATTAAGTGACTTCCTTTCCCCTCCCTGCTCCCCCCCAAAAAAAACCCTAAGAAAAAAAATCTTTACAAATTTACATTTTTTTTACAATACAAAAAACTAATAGCTTGTTGCATATAAATATTACATTTGGTCTGCCAACGTCAAGTGGCATCAAAAATCCCTGAAGCATTTCATTTTAAAGGGACCTGAGATAGCAGATGTAAAGATATGAACATAGAGCACCCTCTGAAAACAAGATGAAAGCAAAACAGTATTAGTTTAAACCAATTTGTATGCACCTTTTTTCTGCAGGGGTGTTAACTGTGAAGCACTTTACACTGTCAAGAACACAATATACAGGCATTAAGAGCTTTTAGATGACACTAAGATTCCATGTGTCTGAAGCTCAGTTGTAAAGAGTAATATTCCTCAACAAAACCTGCTGTGAAGCTTTAACGAAAAGGCAAAATAGGCCAGAAAAACACACACACACACACACACACACACACACACACACACACACACATCTGCCTTGGAAATAGAAACAAGCCTTCTGAATACCACTTAATTGTTAAAAAAGAAAAAGAAAGAAGTCTTGGCATGAGCTTGCCGATCAGCCTGGCAAAGGTTAAGACTACAGGTGTGTGTGTGTGTGTGTGTGTGTGTGTGTGTGTGTGTGTGTCTGGGGGGGAGGAACAGACATATACTATAATCAAACACTGACAGCCACATTTCAAGCACTCCTACTCTCTTGCACACCACCTTGGGGAAGGAGGGAGGGGAAATAAGGAGGGCATGAAGTACAATCTTATAAAGACTGAGGCCTACTATTCTTAGTGTATACTTTAAATATTTGGATGGAGAATGCCAAAATGGTATGGCGGGTATGCAGCAGGATTATTATAAAGTACCCATTTTGTTTAAAAACACAGTCTGCTAATTACATACCCACATCCATGCATATACATGTATTCATAAAGCACCATCTGATATAATACTATAGGTTAAGGCTGTGACAGCGATTCTGCTGGAAAATAAGAGCACAATCCAGCAGAGAACTTTTCTGCGCTTGCTCATTTAAAATAAAGAGGGTGTGCAAGGCAAACCTTATGAGCACTTCCTGTTCATTCTAATAGGCTTGCACAAGAGCTGATAAACATGCAGGGATCTGTAACACATGTATTTTGTTGTGGGCCAACGTCTGATATACTGAGCTATACATGTCAAAGTGTTGTTCTGTGTTTGAAGGGCCTTTAAAAAAATGCTAGCAACATTGCAGATTGAGAATCGCCATTGTGAAATTCTTTAAAAAATGTAAACATCTGATATACGGTAGTAATATTGGGGGGGGGGGTTTGAGAGATTCCTTGTAAATGTAGTCATTTAGAATACATCATTTTAAAGAACATAATGAAAACACCTAAGAGATTTCTAATAGAGCACCCTTAGGTGTTGAACAGTGCATTCTGCCCATAAATATTTAATTGTTCTTACAAATAGAAAAGTTATTATATTTTGTAGCATATATTATGAAACCAGTACACTAACTTTGCAATACAGAGAACTGCTTGCGTTCAGTGTGTAAGTTAAGGTTGGTGAAATGTTCTTAGACTAAATCTAGTTTATCCTGCTTTGTGCCAATACATGATCAGCTGTGTTAGGTGAAGATAAATTACTCAGCTTAACCTTAGCCATGACCAACAGCTTTGTATGGTTTGGCTTAATTCTAAGAAATATTCTGCAACCAAGGGTTTCCAAGGCTGCCAAACAACAGAAGCAACATATGGTAGAGAAAACAAAATGCAATAACACCTTAGGCTTTGATCGGGGGGCGGGGAGGCAGGGTATTGCTATTTTAGAATTTAAAGATTACATGAGAAGGAATAGGTTTACTTGAACAAGAAGTCAAGGTGGTATGTGGGAACTTGAAGTCCTATTACGTTTGTTAGTTTACTTCTGAAGTCCTATTACCTTTTGTTCCTATTACTAACAAACAAATTGAAACTAGAAACTAGAAAATGATAGAATGCAAAAAAAAAAAAAATACCTCACAAACCCTTTGCTTCTTGATGGCAGATGAGAGACTTAAAATTCAGTTGATATAACCATTTAAGATGTTGCCCAAACTTCAAAAAGTTCAGGAAAGCATTAAATGCATTTCAGATAAAAGATTTCAGTATTGCTCTTGACTGGAACAGAAAGGTTTCATATATCTTATGTAAAAATCCAAAGTTCTAACTCATCTTAAAGTAGGGAGGTTGAACCTGAAATCTGTGAAAATAGGTGTTCTGCATTTCCACATATCCCATGCTGGTTATTGCTAAAGATGATTGGTTACTGTTCTGTTTAGAATACCACTTCCAAAATGCATGTGGCAAATTGTGAAGGCAGCCTCAGGCAAGCACTGAACAGCCTACAGTCAGACATGATGGGCAATTCAGATAAAATGGAACAATTGTGTTTCACTGCAACAAAGTTTTCTGCAGTGAAACATAATCTAGTTTTGAATTTGAATGGCCAATTTATAGGATACAGCTTTGGCCTCCTTGCAGAATCCCTTAAAGCAATTCTGCTCAGCTGTTCAGTAGAATCCAGCACCATTTCCTTTCTAAATACTGTTCCTTTGGGAGGTTTATTGGTGAGCATAATTTGGCATAAATACAATGAAGATATTCAGTCATTGCCAGTTAGAATAACTGGGAGCAACACCAAGACACATAATGAGTTCACAGAAGATCCTAAGGCTTGCACAGTAAGAAACAAACAACATTAAGAAGGGGTGATTTGATGGTTTGTTCACTAAATTTCTACAATTTTGATCCTGAAACAGAATTGTTGACAGACCATTACACTGATTTAGTATGGCATTCTCTGGATTTTTCAAATCCCAAGCCTTTACAGTGAAAGTTCTTTTGTGGCGTTACACAAATCATGGTGAAGGCCAAGCCTCCCCATCTCCAAGAAGCTAACTTCAACTGAGTGCATCTGATCCTCACTGAGGCTGCCAACAGCCTAGTGGGTTGATGTCCAGAAATTGAACATGTGGAGCATCCACAGGGCAAGTGGTACAAAGGAACCAGCAGCACCTGAAAGGAGCAGTAAAGGTGCAAGGAAGATAAGAATGGGGTAGAATGAAGTAGGGCCTTGGCAGTCCAAATCAGAGAGGTCCTGAGAGCTGTCTACTGAAGAATGGGTCCAATTTTGTTATTTCCAAGCCAATATTGCTACAGAGTCCTATACAATTTTAACTTTGGAAAGTAAACCCTGTCCAAATTAATTGTGTTTCAGGGTGGCCCACATCACCTGATTGATATCCTCAAACAACAGATGAATGGGTACAGTAAGGAATCCTCACTTGATAACTATCCCAACCACCAAACTGAATAAAACACCACCAGGTTATTCCTCACATGCACAAGAAACCTCCATTTCCTTTAGAATAGATGTTCTGTTGTTGCAGCACCATTGTAGCCTAGTTTTCTAGTATGCCTAGTAATGAACACATATCCTAAAAATACTTTCATCCTAGAAAAGTATTCTTGCTTTCTTATCATCTTCACAGTACATAATTAGTCCTAAATAAAAGAGAACACTGAAGGCATTTCTCCCAAATTGTAATTGTTGTTTCAAAGAAGCACACACCGCTCCTTAGGGCATAGGTCTCCACAGTAAATACCTGTACAAGTGAATACCTTCTCTGGGGGCAGGATTTCAGTTCTTTAAAATAACACTATTTGTCCCCATTGTGGTTACAAGCAACCATGGTGACAGTATAGCCGGTCTATATAGTATAGCAGGAGATATGCTTGAGGTTTCCTTTTAAGCACACACCTGTCTTGTAGATCTGAAATACTACACTGAACAAAAAGATTCTATACTTGCACATCCTGAGGCACAGCCTGCACACTCTCAGAAGCAAACATGGAGCTCTTGTATTAAAGGATGCTCCAGGAACACTTCCAGGCTTTCATGGGCAGAAAGGATCTGAATCAGGACAACTGTGTGCCATACCTGACTCCTGGATTTGTATCCAGTGTGTATATAAATAAATGCTTGGTTTCTAGATCACATAACTCAATAACATAATTCTTCTATTTTTGCCCTAATTGGCAAATGCCTTCCCATTTGACTGTTTTTAAAATCTATTTTTTATGGTAGATGATCCACAGCCACTTTTGTATGCATGTGTATATATGTACTTTCTTACACATGTTATATATAAATAATTATACTGTAATTCTGTGGAGATCCAGCAATGTTACTGACCAAGTGTGCCTAGCAAAAGAATTGCTTGCAGGCTAGATAGAAATAATGTATGAAATTTCACTCATTATTTTATTTGGCTTTCTGTTTCTCTTTCATATGCTCTGTCAACCCTTCTATTTTATCTCTGGGATGATGAATTACACAAAATAGAAAAATGAAACTCTTATTCAAGAGAAGGGGGAAAGCACATTTCTGAAATTCACTTGCTACAGTGATGAGGGACAAACATGGTTCCCCAAGCCTAGATTCCCCTTACACTGATGCACTGTTCAACACTGTTACAAGAAGAGCCCTGTGCAAATTATTTCTCAGTATCAAACCAGATGGCACCACACCCAATGAGAAATCCATACATGCCAAAATTCACACACAGGTGTTCTGCATTTGTGGGGCTGTCTCCACTTCAACAGAAGGAGCTGATTAGCACGCACGAACAAAAATAAAAGTAAGCCAATCATGCCCTTCCACCAAAGTGAATGGGGAAGCTGGGGGGAGGGAGAGGGGAGGAGCTCAGTGGCCTGGAGCTCCTTTGCCAATTAGCAATCTCTTAATCAAGGGTGTTATGATTCCCCACCCCGGGGAAGATTGAGATGGTTGTCCATACTAAGTGAGTCGGCAAAGTTACTAGAGCATAAAAAAGTTATGTTGTAGTTGAAAGAATCAAATTAAAGCATGTAAAGCATCGTGAGTATGATTGTCAGGTTGAAACCTGACAAATGGCTATTTTGTCGTTTAATGACGGACTGTGCTAATGCCACACAACCTACAGCAACCCCATAAATGAAGAAAAGGAAATGAATTCTAATGTTTCTATTATTTGCAAGTCCGGAGGCAGCTAAGCTACTAGAAAAACAGTGGCTGCGAAGGAGAGAAAATATCAATGATGATGTTAACACCTTATTGGCAGTCTCAATTAATGCTATAGCGATATGAGGGTATCAGAATGAATATAGAAGCAAGTTAACTTTTGCATTTGGCACCTGTGTGTCTAGATATTCATAGTTCTCAAGTATCTCATTGTATATTATTATTAATGCATGCATCTGTTAATGCATGTCAAAAGTCTGCTACGTATTTACAAGGCACCAAGCCCCACCCCACCCCTCTTTCTCCCTCTCATTTTCAAAACATGAATTAAGAACCAATGAGAAAAGCATACCGAGATACCCAAGTATGAACATACTTCATGAAAGTTTGGCTTGGAAAGATTGAAATTATTCATATTCTGTGCACAATAGAGAAACTGTAAACATTTTATAGCTGCCTTTAAGATTGGTGAATTGTGCAAAAGTTATTACTGAATGTAAGGAATTCATGGCAGACAATTCAAAATCTCTGTAAGAAGGTGCTGTTTCTATAATGCACAAAACACACAAAACCAAAAAAGAAAAACAAGGGGAGACATCAAAATCATGATTCCATTGCCACTGTCCTCCTATGACAACCTCAAAGTGTAGTGTGGGAAAGTATTTCTGCAGATATAGAATGAATGGGCAGGGCTTCTTTTGGCCAAGAACATGTGGCAATCAGAAGTCTTTGAACATACCAATGGGCAAAATGGAAAAAGCACCACAGAAAAATGTGAGCAGAGTCCCCACACAATTTGCGTTGTAGATTTTCTGGCAAAAATCCCTGCAGTAGAAGGCCTTAGATCGTCAAAACACCATTGTTCACTTCCAGTTTCCCATTTGTCAATAATTCCATCCCATGAGATGGCTGACCCTGGCCTTTTCTGTCATTTTCCGCACCCTGCCTGACCTGGAAGTACCAAGGTTCAGAGGATCCTCAGTGTGCACAAAAGTGTCATTGTCTGAATCATCATTATATAAAACGGTTCGCCTGCCCTCATTCCTAGTTTTAATCCGAGGCGGCCTGCTGAACCGCCCACCAAATGTGTTCTCACTGAAGCGTCCCCCCAAAAGATTCTCAAATTCATCATCGGCAATTCGTGGGCGCTTGGCTCTGGAGGCTCCTCTGGAGGCTCCTCTCCCTCTCCCTCTTCTTCCTCCCCTGCCTCCTCTTCTTCCTCTGTTACAGCCTCTTCCCCTCCGGCTGCCTCGCCCCCCTCTGCTCCACCTACCCCACCGGCCCCATCTCCCTCTCTTTCCTGTCCCTCTACCCTGCCAATTTCTCTGCCCACTGGAGATGTTCCTTCGGATTTTTCTTTTCGGTTTCACTTGCACAGATTTGCTGTAGTCATGGTCTCCATCTATGTAGTCCTGATCTGTTCTAGAGCTTGATTCAGAGTCAGAATCAGAGCCACATCCGCTTTCAGAACTTGAGTTTGATCGTGAATCTCCACTTTCTGAGGAGGATAAACCTGGCTTTTCTTTTTCTTCTCTCTTCTTCTTTTCACCAATGGGTTCATCCTCTTCTGATGCACTTGAGAGCTTCCGCTTGACTGTTGCTCGGGGCTCTCTCCCATCACCATTTGTCAGGGGCTTATCAGAAGGCTGATCTACAGAAATTCAAACAAATGTATTTGTCAATGATGCTGCTACAGAGCTAGATTTCAGTTTCCTGGAGAAAACAAAAAAAATTTTTCCAGCCTGGAAGAAATTTACTCATAGAACAAGCAGTCTTGTTTCAAAAGTTCTCTGCCTACCAAGATGAAAGTGGATTGTTCATGACACCTGCTCAAAGGCAAGCAATTTTAAACTGAAGCAGAGTTGGTTTTTAAAGAAATACATGATTAAGGGCATTGCTGAATCAAGAGGCAGACGCCTACCCATGAGACACCCATGAGATTGGTACTGGGCCTCTGCAAGGCTGAGCCCACCACCCAACAGATCACAGGGGTATTGCAATGCTAGGGATGCCTCTGAGCCACAGTTACAACAACAACAACAACAACAACAACAACAACAAATTTATTTACACCCCATCTTTTCCCCCGACAGGGACTCAAAGTGAGTTACAAAGAACAACCTCCTGCTTCTCCTCCTTTTTATCCTTGATTATGCCTGGCCTACATTCCCTGAAGGCCTTCATTTTGTAACCAATACAGTGGTGCCCCGCAAGACGAAAAACTCGCTAGACGAAAGGGTTTTCCGTTTTTTGAGTCGTTCCGCAAGATGAATTTCCCTATGGGCTTGCTTCGCAAGACGAAACGTCTTGCGAGTTTGTTTCCTTTTTCTTAAAGCCGCTAAGCCGTTAATAGCCGCTAAGCCGCTAAGAGCCGTGCTTCGCAAGACGAAAAAACCGCAAGACGAAGAGACTCGCGGAACGGATTAATTTCGTCTTGCAAGGCACCACTGTAACTAAACATAAGTTTGCTACATGACACCTATCCAATGGACCTGGAACTGCCCACCATTTCCCTAAGCCAGTCTGTCAGGTATCTCCTCCTGCCAGTCCTCTTCAGATGCAAAAGGGGTACTTGACTGACTCTGAAGCTTATTGGTCAGAAGGAGTCAGGGGTCACTTGCCCAGGAGAGGGGACAGAGACTTTATGAGGCTGAGTTTCACCTGCAGCTTGTTCCCTCCACTGTCAGGGATTTGGCTGGACTTGCTATGAAGACAGATTTTTAAGTAAAATTGTATTGTATTGTATTGTATTGTATTGTATTGTATTGTATTGTATTGTATTGTATTGTATTGTATTGTATTGTAGTAGCTAGGCTAGGATTAGTTTAGTTTGAAAGCCACAGTACTCTGGCCTAATTTGTATTCTGTTTGACCTTCTGCTTGCATTTCCTCTATCATTTATTCATAAGAAACTTTTATAATTTGACCCCCAAAGTGTGTGATTGCCAAACCTCAGGGTTTCAGGATCCCCATGTGCCTAGATTCTTGAAATTCATGCCACTTGATGTTTAGGACTGGAGTTGTAAGTAGCCAGCCTACTCTTCTGAGGTCTGGGAGAGACTCACGAGAGTGTAAGGGCTGCCTTTAGACTCAGAGCAACTCATAAGGAAAGTCTGCAAAGTAATTGCTTTAGTGCATCCCGGATCCCCTCCCATCTGGACTGTCGAAGTAAGTGGAAGGGTGGTTCCAGCAACTACTAGTAGTACTGCAGGGCTATTGTTGGGCAGTGAAGGGGGTGTGAGAAGCTTCTACTGGGCTTCCCACCCTTCACCACACCCATAAACATGTGTGCTAGCTAATCAGTTTGTGGAAGCCAGGAAAATGACATCTCTGCAAAGAGAGGATTAAAATAAAAAAGCTCAAAATTGCACAGCTGTTACAGACCACCACGAACCTTTCTAATGGTTTATTAGAGTGAGCAGGGAACCGACCCACTACCCTGAACTAGCCCAGACAATGGTGACCCTGGCTGTCAGCCCCTTCTCCTTTATCTCAGCATTGCCTTGTAGAACTCAGCAGAGAGGAGGATGGGGACAACTATAATTAACTGAGACAACTTGTTATAGGCTCTGGCTCCACCTGCTGCTGGCTTCCCTGCCTTCTACCCAAGCACAACCACCACTGTATTTATGTTAAAAATACCACACTTTGGGAGCTGGCCCATTAGGAATGCGTTCCCTCCCAGAGAGAACTCTGCCACATTGTTGCCCTGTGACTAGAGAAGGGAGAGACACAGGGTGATCTGGTGCACAATCTAACAGTACATTTGCTTCACAAAACACAAGAATCAGAATCACCCTGTAACCAAATAAAACCCTTGACCATGGTTGCGTCACTTGATTGTCAGAGGTGCCACAGGCAACACTGGCCTCTGTCCCTCTTTTCTTTCCTTCCCTTCCTCTTCTGATGCCCTCTCACATCCTTGCTTCCCAAAGGTTTGCACAACTGTTTTTCTCAGCAGCCCTAACTACAAGCTCCCCAGGTGAATGGTGCCTCTGGGGCTGGCCAGGTGGTCCTGCCCCTGTGAGGCAGTGGGAGGAGGTACCTCTCTTGGGAGTGGGAGTGGGAAGCTCAGAGACAAGAGGTGGCAGCTATGACTGCCCATAGGAGTTCCAAGGAGAAGAGAGAGGAGAGGAGGTTGAGGGAACCCTCCACAAGGGAGGGGTGAGGAGCTGTCAGCTCTGCAGGCAAGGGGTGACATAACTGGGCCCCACAGAAATAATGTAGCTGGTCAAGGGAGCTGTGGACGCAAAAAGGTTGAAAACCTCTGACCTAGACACACACACACACCCAAAAGGGGGGGGGGGAGAGGGAGAGGGAAAGATATATAGAGAGGGAATCTTTATTCCTCTAACTTCTCACCTTGTGTAACTGGTGTGGATTTATTTCTAACTAGCCTATTTTTCCCTGGTTCAGCATCATTTCCGCTATGATTTTGGGTGTTTGAGCCAGATGAAGAAGGATGACTGTCCATCTCTTCAGCAGCAACAGCAGAGCCAGGTGGTTCCTCAGTAGTATCTGAAAATTTAAACATGATGTCACAAGTTTCGCAATGGATGGAAAATGTTAATGAATTTGAAAGTAGAAGCATTGCATTCATTTGCTTTAGTGGCATGTGAGTGTGTAGGCCTCAAATCCTTGATGAGTGCATTCAGTGAAATTTATTTCAGTTATGATTGCACTGCTTAGTGCAATGTTAACAATCATACAAATAATTGGAGGTCACAGAAGACGGATTCCTTAAGACGCCAGGCCTTTACCTGGTGGTAGTTGATTACTGACTTAGGAGAGGCTTCTGGCACACTAACATATTTCTCTAATGTAGGGGTAGGAAACTCGTGTCTCTTCAGAATGTGTTTGACTCTCATCACCCCTAGACAGCAAGGCCAATGGTCATATGCATGAATTTACAAACATAAATATACAATTTCCAAATCCCTTAGTGGGGGATCACATACATTTGGAATGAAAGAAGCAAAGATGGCAGTTGGACAGAAATGGGCAGTAACAGATACTGTAACTTGGTTCGTGCTGTTTCATCTACACATTTTTGCATGTAGGCAAACTATGAACATTCCTGAGGGTGCTGGGGGCAGAACAGACTGGAGAAGAGATCTGGCACTCTGTGGCAAAGGGCAAGGTATGCAGTATAATGGGGGGGGGGAGAGATATCAGCATCAAAGGAACATAAAGGGCAGAACACTTTCCTCGGTGATATCGAGATCAATTAGAGGGTATGGGTAGGATGGTGTATCCTCTCTGTTTGCCTAGGCCCCTGGGACTCAACCGGTGCAGGCAAAAGCAAAGGGTCCTTATAGTGAAAGCAAGGTGGAAAAATGGAGTGCAGAAGCGGAAAAGACAATGAAAGGTTATTGCTTCCAAGTTCACTTACCATGAGATGAAACTGAAGAATTAGTCCTAGTTAAAGGCAGTGAGGTATTCAGGTTTGTTTTAGGCTGCATCGGTTGCTTTTGTTTTCCTTTGGGGCTATAAGCATGACAAAAAACAGCAATGGATTATTCTTAACAATGACCTCTGTGAAGTCTGAAAGGTCAGTTATGTCTACGTTGTGTCTTTCATTGCAACTCAGCATGCTTATAATTATATTGCATTTCCCCCATGAAAATCTGCTTTCACCAATTTTGTTGTAGTACATAAAGTGCTGCAGAGGCTGGATGTTGAGGCGGAGTGGATGGCAGTGGCATAAAACAAATGTACTACTAAATTATTATTTATTTAAAACATTTTTATAGAATTGTAGAGTTGGAAAGGACCATGAGGGTCATCTAGTCCAACCCTCTGCAATGCAGGAATCTCAACTAGATCATACAGGACAGATGGCCATCCAACCTCTGCTTAAAACTCTCCAAGGAAGGAGAGTCCACCACTTATGTTCCACTGTCGAACAGCTGTTACTGTCAAAAAAGTTCTTCCTGATGTTTAGTCAAAATTCCTTTCTTGTAACGTAAATGCCACTGCCCTCCCAAGGAAGCTTACACGACTCTTAAAATGCATGAAAATATAATTACAAGACATGAGCAGCAGTTAAAAATGTTACAGAGTGCAGCATGGCTCGTCCAAAAGCAGACATGAATAAATGTGTCGTCAGAGGGTTTATTTATTTTAAAGTCCAAGGTGATGGGGCTTTATGTATCTCCCCAGGGAGGAGGTTCCGAAAGTGTGGGCTACTACCCAGAAAGCTGTATGCCTAGTAGTGGACACAGTCCAGTAAGCTCTTACTAAATGCACATCAATATGTGATCATACATTTAACAAGTATCAGAATTGTTACCTGGGTGACCTGCTGCTAGAGGAAGAACTGCTGCTGCTCCGCAGTTGTTTCCGGTACCGTAGCCGTGGCCTTCGCCTCTTCTGATATTGCACTGCTGACTTGTATTCAGAAATTATAGTTTTAATATGATTTTCAAATAAGGCAGATAGTCGGAGTGTCATACTGTAAATCTGGTAGGGGAGGAAAAGAGGGGCAGAATGATCACACCTGAGAGTGAATGTCTGTGCAGAAGACCTGCATGATTTAGGCTGAGGAGACCTGGATTCAAATCCCTGCTCAGTAACAATGTTTGCTGGGTCTCTGTGCCAGTCACTACCTGTCAAAATGGGAGACATAGTGCATAGCACCCCCAGCCTCCTTGGAGGATGGAAATGATTAAACAATTAGTTGCTTTGTAGAGGTGGCCATCTATTTTAAAAAGTTAAGCAAAACTCCTGTGAATTTAACATAGAGGAGCAATTTTTTAACATAGAGGGTCAGCAATTCTTCAATATTCAACATGAGATGAAGAGTGATGTTTGGAGAGGCAGGCTGTGCAGCAGCTAAAAATGAGGGGTACCAATAGCACTGCTGCTTGTCCAGCCAGTCCCTGCTCTCACAAGTTTCAGGAGAAGCTCAGAACTTTCATACTCATACCCAACCAAGGAGATGAATATGTATTGGATATGGCACGATGGCACATTTATAAAATGGTTGACAGAGTCAGCCGTCTATCTGCTGGCAGTACAGGGGACAAGTAGTAACTTCTTTTCCACTGATAGCATACATGCTCGAAGGCAGCTGCTTATTGGACAGTTACTATGAAACACATTCACACGACTACACACACAGCGTGAATCTAGAGCCTCTAGTAATCTTCCTTACATATATTAAAAATATTATTATTAATAATAATCTGCCCTTTAATCTGAAGTTTCAGCAAGGTACACAATGTTTCATTAAAATACAACATATCAAATACAACGTAAAACCCATAAAACTGATGACCATCAAAAAGCAGCAATCCAGCAGCGGATGTACTTAAAACTAAGCATAAGAAATTCATATTACATGTGGTTATTACAGTAAGAATGCTTTGTGCAAAATAACAAAGAACAGATCAAACATAAAATGAAGAAGAGTGACAATGTGCCTTGTTAAATTATGCTGTTACAGCTAAATGAACTGACAAACTAAACAAATACAAAAAAAATATTTTAACTATTCATTAACCTTTTATTCGCCTATTGTGCGAAAAAACATAGGAAGCTGCCTTGTAGCATATCAGGCTATTGGTTGATCTAACTGGCAATTCCCTCTTCCCTAGGCCCAGACAGAGAAGTCTTTCCCAGTCCGGCAGTCCAATATCCTCATTGCGTCAAAGTGTGTTGGAGACTAAACCTGCATAGTAAGCATGTGCTCTGTCACTGAATTATGACCCAAACCATCTCTGGGTCTACTCAGGCCGCTGTCTGAGGACTAATGGGGCTACCGATGGTTCCAAAATTATGCACAAGTCACCTGAGAAGAAAGACCAAGGAAGTTGCCTGGTACCCAAGTCAGCTTGTTTGTCACACTAGTTGTTTATTTCCTATACCGGTTGAGGGAGTTGGGTATGTTTAGCCTGGATAAGAGGAAACTGAGAGGATATGATGGCCATCTTCAGATGTCTAAAGGATTGTGACATGGAAGCCTGTTTTCTCCTGCTCCAAAGGCTTGGACTCTCACCATGTGCATACTATCATGTAACCTGCATTAGGAAGCCTATCAGGGCAACAGTCTTTAGTAAAGGCCTGTATTTTAGGACTATTATACTTTATTTGCATGTGTCAGGCTGGAGGCTTGCAGTCATAGGCACCACCACTTCTACATCTTACCCTTGATTTCTTATTAGGAGTGTATGCTTTGGAGTTGCAGAATATCAGACGAACATCTTTGTAGAACTCAAGGGGGTTCATGTAATTTCCTACTTCCAAAGTTTCTTTCACAGTGCTGAAGTCCATTGGAGTGTCCACTATATCACGATAATCCTACAAGCAACATTTATGTGTGTTAAATGAGTAACATTGCCACATTACAGCGATATGGTTAGATACTGCACTTATTGAAGAATGGCTGCTTACAAAGTTATTTCACAAAAACCAGCTGTAAAACTTAACACTCCACAGACAATAAAACTTAATGTCTGGATGCACATTAAAAAGACAGATCGCTTCAAGACATGCATTCTCACTGTTATGATTTCTGAGGTGGAACTATTCTGAAGATACTACAAGCAAAGAAATAATTATGGAGTGAATGCATTTGCTGCTAGTCCACCTGCCAAATTTCTCAGTGCTCTACAAGCAGGAAGGGAGAAAAGAGAAATATTGTATGGGGGAGGGGAAAGGAAATATTTTTACTATGTGGAATGTCCTTATGGGATATTACAGGAACTGATTTTAAAAAACAACAACAACAACAAACACTAGAGATTTTAGTGCTAAAATTGGCAAAATTGAATTAGCAAACGCAAGTACATCAGAGCTTTCCAAACTTTTCATGTTGGTAACACACTTTTTAGACATGCATCATTTTGCGACACGGTAATTCAGTTTTACTAGCAAACCAGAGACTAAACTAACCCCTTTACAGCCCCGGGAGGACTGCAGGGAGTGTTCACATGTTATATCTACACACTGCAGCCAACACACTAACGTGTCACGACACACAGTTTGGAAAGCTCTGTAGTACATAGTCATACTTCAAATTAAGTAAGGGCAGGACTGTTTACTTTACTGTGCAAGTTGTACAAGCAGAGCTTCCAGAAGAAATACAGGATTCAGATCCCAAGAACCTAAGGTTCTTTTCTTTTTTTCTTTTCTTTTTTAAAGCAAGCAACCACAGAGTTGGAAGTATGTGAGTAACGCCTAAGAAAACTGTGAATACCGAGAACATTGTGGTGCTATTATGGAAGGTAGGGTTTCAGTGCTTCACACAATTCTTTACTCCTCCTTCCTGAACTAAAGAAATGAAAGCAACTTACAGGGTAAGAAAAGAGATCAACAGGTTGTCGGAATGGCTCAGAATCTTCACGTTCATAGATGAGGCTTAATAGCTGTTTGCACTTATCTTTCCAGGCATCAGCACGTGGCTTGGAAGGCTGCTTTTTTATCTGCTGCTTTATCTGAACCTTTTAAAAGGGGAGCAACAGCAACATTTACGTTTTATGACAAAATTCTCCTTCCATCTTGTTTAATTAATACTGATTCAGTTCCAATTTGACAGAGGCAGGTGAAAGGTAACTCAGTGATTCATTCTGTGTTGACAGATATATAGTTTTAAACTCTACATATAACTGTCTCTATACAAACTGGCTGAAGAAAGGTGCTGTCAGACACACAGCTCCATCGTCAGTGAAGTTAACTCTTCATTTAAGGAAACGAACATGCCTCTCAGCAACATTTCCCAGCAGGTCTTGCCCCTATGGAGCAGTTGCCAGGACTAAAGGTCCCTGCCTTCCACCCTTTCTATGGCTCCTCCTCTCCCAGATGTTTCCCAAGCAGCCTCAAACTATGTCTGCACACTTCAGGTAGCTGTTCTGCCCTCCTCATTCTGCACATTCTTGCAGAACAGGGGAAGGGGAGCTGGTCATAGCAGGAGAGGGAGAATCCTTGGATTTTTTCAGCAGATCCTTGATCCCACCACCCGCTTCAGCCTCAGAGTCTGAACTGCTCCCCGTCACCAGTTCTTCCTGCTCGCTCAACTATGTTGCCCCTTCAGCATTCAACCCTTCCTCCCAGGCTTCTCCCTCTGACCTCCCCTCGGTATCCCTTCACTAGTCCCCTGGCTCTGATCCTTCCTTCCCCTTGGAGGTTCTCCACTACTCCTCATCAGCCAGCCAGTCCCTGAAAGGTAACTAAGCAGCACTCACAGTTCTTTTCCCAGATGAGGTTCCTGGACCATCCGAATCAGCATACGTTTCTGCCACCTCTTCTTCATTTGCGCTACTCAGGTCTTCGGCTTTCACTTTGTTATACATCTCCAGAATATCTGTGCAACTCTGATCCCTAAAGGATAATATGATTATCAGCATTGGGGCCAACAGAGAGTCATGGACTGTTGGGACTGTAAAAGCAACATCGTCCTTGTCCAGACGGATTACAAATTAAGGGCTGATTTGTGTGTAATTGGCATATCATGCTTGCTGAACCCACATGCAGCACCACTTTGAGTTTATTAGCAGATGGTCAGATCATGTGGGAAGCAGGGCTTCTTCATGAAAAATTCCCACAGTCTTATCTCCATAGATAGGACAGGACAAAAGTGAAGGAAGAGGTGATGGGATAAGAAATTATTTGGTAGCATAAAGAAAGGGATGTGCAACACAGATGCACACAATGCAACTGCAATAGTTCAGGAAACACCTTGCTGATCAGAGAAGTTTTAGGGAAAGTATTTGGAAACTGTGGAAATGGTAGTTGGCAAGAAAAGTGACAGCTCACCCAATGTAGTGAAGTAAGACATCTGTTACTATTTTGGCTGCTTTAACTATAGGACTATCGGGCTCATTGAAAGTCCTAGCGTTATGTTCAATATATCGTACCTCCCACATTAGTGCTGATATTCTCCTGAAAAAAGGAAGAGAACAAATTTATAAAATTAATAAAAACAAATTAATAAAAACAAAAAGAAATATGTGCCATGCTCATTCTGTAACCTAAAATCATTTTTACAAAGCCTGCATGTGCTTTTCATAAACAATAAAGTCTCAATCTGGCAGAAGAGCAAAATACAAGAAGTAGGGAAAACATCAACAATTCTTAAGAGCCAGGAAATGAAATCATGAGTGATTGGGAAACAGGGCAAAAACCACACATCCTGGTCTACATCAGAAATATAGTTAACGGGAGAATCTTAGATGCTGCAAGTAAGTTACAACTCTTGCAGCATTTTCCTGATTAAGCAGAGCTGGGGAAAAATTCACTAATACTACAGCAGATACAATTTAGCAAAAGTTAGCAACTTTTTTTAAAAAAAGACAAGAGATACTAAAAAATAACAGTGGAAAGAAATAATCAATCTGACCTGTAAAATCTGTTTTCAAGTCTTCTCCTTATTGTGGTGAGGTCAGTTGGGTAAGCAACAACAGTGCAATATAGAGGATAGGCACTAAGGTCCACTGGGACAGCAAAAGGGTTGGATATATCTTTAAAAAGGTAGCAAAGAAAGTTGATTAAAGTCCACAAGCTATGCCGGAAGTCAAATGGTGAAACTTAGAAGCATTGTATTGTATTGTATTGTATTATTATATTGTATTATTATATTATATTATATTATATTATATTATATTATATTATATTATATGCTTTAAAAAAAACACACCTGCCCAATAAGGTAATATGATGATCAGTATAGTACTTAAAATTATTGTCGCCCTAACTATGTCATGGAAAGTTCACCACCTTACAAACTGACAGCAAACTGTGTGCAAGAGCACGAGATGAAACATGTAATGGATGCCCGATTACAATGATACAGTGGTACCTCAGTTTAAGAACAGTCCTGTTTATGAACGATTCAGTTTACGAACTCTGCAAAACCGGAACTAGTGCCTCGGTTTGCAAACTTTACCTTGGTCTAAGAACGGAATCCAAATGGTGGAAGGGCACCGGCAGTGGGAGGCCTCATTAGGGAAAGTGTACCTCGGTTTAAGAACGGACTTCTATAACAGATTAAGTTCGTAAACCGAGGTACCACTGTATATAATTAGGAAGAAGTGTCCATGGTTAGGAAGGGAGTGAGCATGGGAAAAGACAGAGACATGCATGTTGGACAGAAAGAATCGGCTAGGGCAGTGAAATGAAAAGTAGGGACCTCAGGGAAGCATGGTAGATGGGGCAGAGGCTAATGGTAAAGAGAGACCAAAGAAGCAAAAATGGATGTTGGCGGGGGAAGAGAAGAAAAACTCTGCATGGAGCATTAAATAAATTATTATTAATAATTGTTGTTGTTACCGCCACCTGCCCTTCACCAGAAGGCCCCGCAGTGGGTCACAACAATTTCAAATCCAGTATTAAAAAATAGCTAAAACTAATTAGTCACAGGAATAGGGTGGGCTCTGAAAACACACATCTTAGATGGGAAAGGCTAGGGGAGTGTGTCTTCAGCATTTACTGAAAGCTGTACAGTGAAGAAACCCGAGACTTCTCTGGCTTCTTATGCAGCAAAGGGGCCACCACAGAGAATGCCCTGAAAAACAGTATTGCGGTTGCCTAAAGAGAGCCCTGGGAAACAAAGAAGCAGTGGTGCCAAAGTGCATGGGGTTGCGAAGGGGACATGAATTTGAACTAAACAGGTAAGAGAGATCTTCAGACACAAGTTCAGTTTGCTAGTATATCTGTTGCTGCACTTAAAAGCTGTATTCAAAGCAGTCAAACTACAGTGGTACCTCTGGTTAAGAACTTAAGTCATTCTGGAGGTCTGTTCTTAACCTAAAACTGTTCTTAACCTGAGGTACCACTTTAGCTAATGGGGCCTCCCACTGCTGCTGTGCCGCTGCCACACAATTTCTGTTCTCATCCTGAAGCAAAGTTCTTAACCTGAGGTACTATTTCTGGGTTAGCGGAGTCTGTAACCTGAAGCATCTGTAACCTGAAACGTCTGTAACCTGAGGTACCACTGTAGTGTGCGTCTATTGTAAGGTCCTTAATACCAAATAAATGTTTACATACTTTCTTCTGGATTTCTGTTTACCCAAATCCTAGCTTCACATCAGCCACATGCCAGGAATCACTTATCGACATAATTTTTCCACTCCAGCTGGTGATTACAAGAGTTCTGAAACTAAGAATAGTGCCCAAGTTTGCTTTTCCCCGCTCCCAATACCTTGTCCTCTTGTGATATGTCTTTTAGTTTGAAAGCGTGAGGACAAAAACTGTCTTATCATTGACATCTGCAAGCCACTGCAGGAACATTCTTTAACTGAAGAGTGAGATAAGAATGCTTTAAAATAAGTAAATAGATATGCTAGGGGTGTTGCCATCTGTGTTTGTTGGTCCCTGGCATCATCTCCACGTCTTCTTTTGAGGCCCACATACCTAAGGATAGAAGTTGATCAATACCGCGAAGAACACGCACACATTCTTCATCTCGGGAATGGGATCCCCATTCACCTTCCTGTGGTTTGTACAGCAAAGATGCCAGCTCCTCTGTTGTCACAGGAACACCAGCCCCAACCTCCTCCGGGTAAGCAGCTACAGAAAACCAGGGTCAGGGGGGAGGGAGACAGAGACAGAAAGACATACCCATTAGAGCCTCTGCCACTGTACTTATTCACAAATTATTGATACCCAATGAAGGGGATGGGGGAACATATTTACTTCCTTCTGGAATTGGCTCCATGTCCCAGGGGCTCATCTTTTCTCTTTCATTATTGTCCCAGCTGTTAGAACAAAAATTGTATTAAAAAACTTAAAACATACACAGATCTAGTGCAGAACAGTAGCAGTGGCCAGACAGCAGGGTCTCCAAGACCAATTTCAGTGCCCAGAAATATTCATATGGGTGGAAGCAATCATTCAAGTAACTAGTCTGAAGCTGCTAAGGCATTTATTTCAACATTTATCACACTGTGACTACTTGTGAAGTGACTGAAAGCTGCATCCAACCACGTGTTGCATGCAGCATTCAGCCATAAAGAGAATTTAATTCTAAATCAATCACACCATGGTGTGTTATCAAGTGCCGCAACAAGATATAGTCTACATTTTATTTATTTTAAAGCATTGATATAATGATTTTTTGCTTGAGAAGTCTCCAAGTAGTTTTAACAAAAACAAGCAACTGAATACTAAGCCAAGAGAAACAACAAAAAACATTAAAAGTTTTAAATTCACACACATATACAGACCACATCAATAAAAAGTTCTTTTTAAGTACTGTATATAAAAGGTAAAGGACCCCTGACAGTTAAGTCCTGTCGCAAACAGCTCTGGGGTTGCGGTGCTCATCTCGCTTTACTGGCCGAGGGAGCCAACGTTTGTCCGCAGTTTCTCCAGGTCATGTGACCAGCATGACTAAGCCACTTCTGGAGAAACCAGAGCAGCGCACGGAAACAGAGTTTAGCTTCCCGCCAGAGCGGTACCTATTTATCTACAGTGGTACCTCGGGTTAAGAACTTAATTCGTTCTGTAGGTCTGTTCTTAACCTGAAACTGTTCTTAATCTGAGGTACCACTTTAGCTAATGGGGCCTACCGCTGCCACCACCCCACCGCCACGCGATTTCTGTATTCATCCTGAAGCAAAGTTCTTAACCTGGGGTACTATTTCTGGGTTAGTGGCGTCTATAACCTGAAGGTAACCCGAGGTACCACTGTACTTGCACTTTGACATGCTTTTGAAGTGCTAGGTTGGCAGAAGCTGGGACCGAACAACAGGAGCTCACCCTGTCGCGGAGATTCAAACTGCCGACCTTCTGATTGGCAAGCCCCAGGCTCAGTGGTTTAGACCACAGCACCACCCGCGTCCCTTTTAAGTATACACACACACAACAGCAGAAGCATAAGACAGTCATTAAATGTCTTGCAAAATAAAGAAGTCCAAAAGTGGATTATATTGGTGCCTCTAAAGCCTAAGGTTAATGGAACCACCACTAAAAAGGCCCCATCTGTGACTGACAAAGTAGAAGCCACTTGGAGAAAATGAGATCACAATGTATAAACTTAATGAATGTTAAAATGTTGTGGTTTCCAGAAACAAAGGGATACAGGGATATAAGGTTAGAAATATAAAAGAGGACTAAGATGACAGAGACTGGAAAGTAACAATTGGGAGTTGCTAGTTGAACTATGGACATTGGGATGCAGAGAGGGGGGGTATGGGGAAGTCAAAGGAAAGAGGTTTATGAAAATATGTTTGAAACTATACGTGTATGTTTGTCATTTTTGGTGTTTGTTTGTTTTTCTTAAAAAGTTTCTAAAACCAATAAAAATTTTATAAAAAAAAAGAAAGAAAATGAGATCACAATGTTTAAGCATGTTAAGAGGGGAGAAGACCAGAAACTATAAATTACCACCACCCTACATAGTTACAGCATAATGATGTAAGAGGTTGCCTTATACCTGGGCCAGACAGCCCCAGATTGGCCAAAATCATCCCACCTAGAGCAACCCATGGCTGTCATAGGGAAGAGTGGTTAGCCACCAGAGAAGGAGGAGAGGCAGGCAGCCTCTGCCTCACTGGCATACACAGCAAGCAAAAGCTTTGGGCTGTTTATCCCAAGGTGACTCTTTGCACTAATGGAAACTATTTCTGCTCATGGAGTTAATGGAACCCAATTTTGTCAACCCATCCTGTGCCATATCTTACACTTTCCCAGGTCTCCCAACCCTTAAGAGCAGGTTTTTTGGCGATATGGAAGGCTGTAGGAGGTACGAGAGATGAGGAAAAACTAGGTGCCCCACCCTGCGTAAACTGGACACAACCTATTGCTTTTTCGTAAGCACTGTAGCTGACTGCTAAGTAGTTGCTAAGCAGTATAATGCTGCTGGCTCTTTGCTGCTGAGATATAATGTTTTAAACGTCTAGTCTTGTTTTGTTGCTGTTAAGTGTGTATTATGATTTTATTTTGTTAGCTGCCTTGTGGATCCTTATGGTTCAAGAGACAGGTACAGACACTGTATGTACATCATTGTATCAATCAGTGAGCGTGTTTGCTTAATTCACTTAGAAATACAGGCTACAGAACTCAGCTTTTCTTGCAGTGGACTTAAAAAAAAAATGCATCAAAGTACACACAGCCACACTCATAGTCATTCTTACTGAACACTGTAGCACTGGAAGGAACTATCAGGATAATCGGACTGGAATGGTTGTTGACTCTCTACCGTTCCAAACCACCATGCATCATCTATTATACTGCGGAATCTATCTCCTGCAACAGAAAAAGTTGGAATGAGCCAAGTGATATATGCAGAAAAAGCACAAAAATACTAATAGTGGTGTGCATTTTTTTTTAGAGTGTTGTTTCTTTTTTCTGTTTTTCTCATTAAAACACATACATTGCATTTAAAATATAGTCATTTACAAAATGTGTAAGATTACATCAAATAACAAACAAAAACTAAAATCAGAAAACATTTCATATGTTTAATATGGAGCTAGCCAATGGTAAGCTAGCACTCACCAATCTGCCAGTTCCTTTCTTTGGCTTCATTGTAAAACTGATGCAGCACAAGGAAATCAATAACATCTGGCATATCATGGTACCTGTGAAACAGAAGTGGAATAGCTCTTCAGAAGGAGGTAGTACAACCACAGATATGGCTTGAAGGTAATTATGATATTGATTCATATGTGTATTAGCAACTTTGTATTAATGTAACATTTTTATATGAAACTGTATTTTTGCAGCATTTTGTTTGTTGCTGCTTCAGTTTTTTGTACATAGCTTAGAGATATTTTTAATATATTAAGCAGTACAGAAATTAAATAATCATCAATCAATCAATCAATCAATCAATCAAAGAAGCCAGGCTAAATACTGCAGGGTGGTGGCGCACATTTTCCACCTTTTTGATAACATTTAAATCATGTTCTGTGCTTCCCTGCCATGTGATCAAATACACTGTCTGCGTCTTGATGGCACAGGAATGTAATGAGCATGTTTCTTTTCCTAAATATTATTAGGGAGACAAGTTTTTGAATTAGGTGGGGGGGGGGGAGAGAGAGAATGTGAGTTGGTGATGGACAAGCGCCCATTTAGCCAGCCACTTACTTAATGGAAAATGATTCACCAGTCATTTTGCCCTGAGGTTGGATAAAGAAAGGCAAGCTTCAAGCAGCAAAGTGTAGGTGGTCCAACTTCATACTTAATTCCCACAATCTTCACAAATTCTTGTTCCTGTTTGTCAAAACAGCACTGGAGGTCAAAGCTTAGTTGTGCATGTACATTTTATTTGAAGCACATACACAAAGGGGGTTGTTTTAAACAAGTGTGAATTCCCAAATTGACCATAAAAAACAAGTGTCCCCCCGCCGCCGCTTTTCATTCTACATTGACCCATTTTTCATTCTGCATTAACTCATACATTCATGTCCACATTCTCACGTGTATATTTATAACCTATCGCCTCCACACATCCATACTCCCTATTACTACTTTGCACGGGAGTTGGAGGGAGGAGGGGAGAAGCTCAAGAATATGATGGCAGGGGAGAAATTCAAGTTCACAAAATGCAGATGTGCGGTTTTTGATAATGGCCTCTACACAATGTGAAGTTGAATGTGACCTTCAAGCCAAGTCCCACACTCCTGGATATCTGCTCTCTGCTTGTGACACAGTGTAATCTGCACCAGGTGAGTTAATCAGATAGATGCTTCTGCACAGGATTATTTTGCCTCAAGTCTCCTTAAGTCTCTGTTGTTGGCAGGATGTGTGACTCAGACAGGTAGAGTATATGATTTGCACATGGGAGATCCCAGGTTCAATCTCTGGCATCTCCACGTAAGGTTGGGAATGATTCCTGCCCCAAAGCTTGGAGAGCTACTGCTGATTTGTGTAAGGCAATAGATTAGTCAATGGTCTAACTTGGTATTAGGCAGGTTCACTGGGTTTATTCAACCCAGTGATAAAAAACAACAATATAACTCTGAAGCTCCCCCTTACCCTGAGTTCTATTTTATTCCATGGTTGTTTCTGCATGTTTACACTGTAGATCTTTGCCTTTCGAACTGCACGCACATAAGCTTCATGCCCTTGCCTGAAATAGATTACCTGAAAGGAAGAAAATTAAATGACACTCTGATTCACAATACACCAAGCCTCAGCTTTCAGAACTTATCCTTAATTTGGAAATAAATATCCCAAAGTAAATAAATAATGCTCCGCTTGCTAGCTCCTAAACATGCATCATTTGTGCATGCCAGGAGACACAAGGGAAAAGAAGAGACCTCAAAGATGCAGAAAGATCAATGTATTAAGGTTCGATGTACGTATTTCAAGAAACAGGACTTCTGATTCTTCGGGGATTGCTAAAACAATCTTCTGTGCTACGTCACAGAGCAGACTTTGTCAACCTGATGTGGAATTTCCAGTAATTTTAAACTTGTCTTATTAAAACAATGTGTATAAAACTGTATTAAAATCTACATAATGAATTTTAAAAGATTTTTAAAATAATTATTCCCAAGAGGCCTGAAGCATTTAATCTGGGGATTATAGGGGCAGAGGTTCCAAAGGAAATAGTTATGTTGTTTATGTTTATGTATGCTCCTACCACAGCCAGAATCTTGTATGTGCAGAAATGGAAAGAAAAAGTCCCAATGAAAGAAGAATGGATTTTAAAGTAATGGACTATGTAGAGATGTCGAAGTTGACAGCAAATACAAGAGATCAAAAAGATGAGAATAAACTATAGCCAAATGAAATCACAAGCAGGATTTGAATAATAGGCAAGGGAAGGAGAATAAATAAACGACTGCAATATAAGTTATAATACAATAGAAAATAAATGGCAGCAGATAAAGGAATACAGCAGGTACATCTTGGAAGGACGGATGGAAAGTCAAAATGTAAGAAATTATTATACTGAAAGTGAATTGAATGTCAAATTTTGTGGGGGGGACTAATAAAATTATTTTACAAGATATATAATATAATAAAATGAAATACCGGTAAATTGCATAAAATGATTGCCAAGTACTTGCTGTTATCTTATATAGGCCTGAGCGTAACAGAAAAGTTAAAAAGCGAAGTGGCAAGGAGATGAGACAAAACAAGATGGCTGGCTGAATCTAAGCAGAGAAGTATGAGGAAGACACCTTCCATCAGCCCCAGTGCTTCGTCCTTGTTGGGAGCTGATCGATTGGTCTGACGAGGTTCATGAAGCTCCTTTTGCACGTCAACTTACTACAGCTGAAATAAAGAAGTTTATTGCCGAACTCATTCAAGTTCCACTGTGGCCCTGTCATGCTCAGTCTATGGAGAGGTGTGTGCAACAAGTCACAGAGGCAGCAGGGCTACATCAGAGGCCAAGAAGCAAGTTGGCAGTTGATGTCCAAGAACGAAGGCAAAGCAAGACCTGATGAAACTTGTTTAAGTTTCTTATAAACTGATGTCATTCTTTTCTAATGTTGCTTTATGTTGTACACTTAGTAGGATATGTTTTATGCAGAGAATTTAAAGTTTTTATAGCATTACCTGACATTTTCAGAAGGCAAAATTAAAATTAAGTTTGTTTTTCTAAAAGCAGTTTCTGTGCTACTTAATCAAATGTAGATTCACCCAGCTAAATGTTGTCCAATCACAAAAAAATATTAGCAGATTTTAATTCCTCACACCCCAAATTATATACAGTGGTACCTCAGTTTTCGAACATAATCCATTCCGGAAGTCCGTTCAAGTTCCAAAACATTCAAAAACCGAAAACTGAAAGCGGAAGCCTCAAACCCAGCCAGATGGGCAGGGTATAAATAATAATTTATTTATTTTTTTATAAAATATTTATTCAAAATTTTAAACATTTAACACCCAACACATATAATCCCATCCCCGACAATACAATAAACAAACAAAAAAGAAAAAACAAAGTAAAACATACAAAAGAGGAAAAAATACAACATCAAAATCAAATTCTTAATATTCAAACTTTCTTCACTTTTTTAGACTTCCTCACGTCTTTCGTTCCTGCTTTCCAAATTTATAAAATTCTGAACAGCAAATTATCACCTTATTTCAATTTCTTATTTGTGTTTCCCCAATATTATGTCTCTAAATTTAAGTTTATTTACCAAAGACTTAAATATTCAATTTAGGCATAATATTAACTAAAGAATTAACTTTTTGTCAACTTTCACCTATTCTCAGATTCTTTTCAACTAGCTTACTGTATAAATAATAATTTATCATCATCATCATCATCATCATCATCAAAGTGGAAGCCTCAATACAGAAAACTCAAAACAGAAACTGCGTTTCCTGATCGACTTCCAAGGCGCGTTCAAAAACCGAGGCATTTACTTCTGGGTTTTCAGCATTCGAGTTCCAAAACGTTCGACTACGGAGGCATTTGAAAACCGAGGTACCACTGTATTTAAGACCCCTCACTGCAGAAATTTGCAAAAATTAGGTTTCACCCCCTAAAATGACATGCCCTACTCCAGTTAAATAAACAAATAGCTACCTCATCCCCCATTTGTGGAACGAAGGGGGAACGCCGCGGTATGGTATCCAGTATCCAATGTGGAGCAAACCATTCTTCAGTGGGCTCACCATCCATCGAAAGCCGTCCACTAGGTTTCTTAAAACAAAAGCATTACAGAGTTTAAACACAAGTACCGTATTTTTTCGCTCCATAAAACACACTTTTTTCCTCCTAAAAAGTAAGGGGAAGTGTCTGTGCGTCTTATGGAGCGAATGTGTGGTTGATTGCTGGCTCCCCTTCTGGCCCCATCCCCTTGCCCAGGCCTCCACTGTTGAATGTTCTGCAGATGGAGGCTGTTTCTTTCCCCAGTGACATGTGACTGGCTGATTGGATTATCTGTCTGGAAACTCTAGAAAGGGCTCCCTTTCCTTTCCTAAAGAAGCTGAACTGTGAATTGAACCCCATAAAAACAGGATTTCCCCCCTTTGCAACGTAAGCTCAGTAACTTTGAGCTGATCTTCAAAAAAAGGGGCTTTTCCCCTTTGCAAAAGAAGCTGCACAACTTTGAGCTGATCCCCCCAAAAAAGGGGCTTTCCCCCTTTCCTCCTCTTAAATCTAGGTGTGTCTTATGGAGCGAAAAATACGGTAACTGGTTTACCTTTCCCAAAAAAGGGGGGGTAAAGTTTTACTCAGAAAAGCCTAAAGACCTTTTTCCTTGTCTGTTTGGGTTTTTTGCGTTTTTCTTCCCGTCCCTTCATATCTTTCATATGTTCATCTTCAGAACTGCTACACATTTTGCGAGTTGCCTGTCTTGTTTGTCTTTTCGGAGGTTGAAGGTTTATTCCGGCATCTGCAGTCCAGTCAGAATATTCACTGGATGAATCGCTGAAAGATTCACATAACAAAATTCTTAGAAAACCCATTTTGTTCCCAGTGTGACATATTTTCAGGGCCACAAAGGGAAGACCAGAGCTTGCTGGTTGGGGGTGGGGAGGGGGAATTACTGATTATACTGGATGAAAAGCAAAAGGAAATAAAAACCCAACAACAGCCAAGTTAGGGTTTAGAATATATATAAACTAATACTATATTTAACAAATACCTTTCAAATTAATATATACCTATTTTTATAACCACCAAAATATAAAAGGAAGAAATTGATGTGGCTCTAGGGTATATGAAATCATTTGTAAATGATGAGCTCCGTACGAAAGCAAAAAATAAAATCCTTCATTCATGACTAATATCAAAAGTGGTTTTATCAGGAACTCGGTATCATTAATACATTTACACATCTCTACCTGGCAGATCTACTGATATTGAGGCCTATTCAATTTCTCAATAAGAGAAAAAGTAGCATTTAATGAGTGCTGCCACTCTTCCTTCTCCCAAACCATGGAAGACCCTCAACTCTGTCTGTGCCATGTAGCACTGAGAAGAGAAATGGGGAGGACAGCAAATCCACCTCTACCTAGCAGCGCTACTGCCCATGAGGCCTTTGAGCTTCATCAAGATAGAAAGAGGAGATAAACACCACCTGTTGGTTATTGCCACCTCCTTTTTGTTTTTTGCTCTCTTGCTATGGTGGCCAAGGACACAGGTTTTTTGCCGTCGGTGCTTGTGGGCAACAATTTATATCAGTCAAGGCAAGAGCCTGCATGGTATGGAGAGTGGGGGTCAAAAATGTTAAGCTATTCAAAAGCCACAGAGTGAGTGTCAGTTGGTCCTCTTTGTGTTACAGGCAGAGATGAAGTGAATGGGCTGCCATAAATGAAAACTGTAGATTTAAAGACAAAGTTAAATAGATTCCCCTCCTTTAAGGTATTTTAAAAGTTGCTGTTGTTGTTCAGATCAACAAGGTAGACAAACCAGAGCAGAGAGAAATTAGGGAAACCACTTTGTGGAGTGAACAAAAGGTAATATAGTTCTGTTTAGAACAGAGGACTCAGCCGACCCAAACTGGGAAGATCTGGGGAGCAGGATGGCTCCTCCCTCCAGGAAGAGGAGGCAGAAGACTTGAAGGCCCCTGCCTATCCAGGTGAGTGGGAGGAACCATCTTATTAACTGAATGTGCTCCAGTCCACTCTGGAAAACAACAGTATCAAATGCTGCTGAGAGTGCAAAGAAAACGAGCAGGATTGCACTCCCCACATCTCCGATAAATGTTATCAAGAAGGATGACCGAGTCCATATGATGACCATGTCTGAATGCATCCAAGTAATTAGCTTCCTTCAAGCATGCCTAAAGCTGGACTGCAACCACCTTCTGAAGCACCTTGCCAAGTAAGGGGATATTTGTCACTGGGTGATAAATGTTTAACACTTCTAGGTCCTGTGAGTTCTCCCCCCCCCCCCCATTTACTATTTACTGTATTTTCATACTACAACCAAAACAACAACAATATTGACAAGGCACAATATAGATAATGTTTACAGCTATGTTGAGTATATGATGGAGAAGTTGTCAGTTTGGAAATGAAGATAAGATTTACCATTACAGCATAAAAGGAAGGAGATTACAACAGTGCCGTTGATTAATAGTAAGTACATTTATTCTGAGACAGTGTGGTGAATGTTATTTAGTTGTTTTATTTATTTGTTAAATTATGTTATTTATAGTATAGAACTATACTTATTTATAGTATAGTTTTCAATAGTTATTTATAGTATAGAGTGTTATTTATTTCTTAAATTTATTAAATGTAAGTATTCCATGTTACCTGACCCGATGGGGGTTATAACAAGTGTTCATTGGTGTGAATATATGCTATAAATGGCCACCAAACTATTTCAAATCCCCCCCCCTTTGAAAGGACCTTAATCACCCAGCTGTGGTATGCTAGATGTTCTGAAAGTGCTACATCCCATATTCTATCAAGCCAACCCTTCATGGTGAATCCTCTTGATTTCCAGTGCCTCTCTATTTCTAAGTTGGCCACTGCTAGTAATAGAGCTATTAATTTTGGATGTAATATATGAGGACCTTTAGAAAGTGGAATCATTAAAAAGGGCCAAAGAAGGGTCAGGCGTTTTCTGTTTCATAATATTCATAATAAATAGATATTTTATCGAATACAGTGATCCAAAAATCTTGCACAAAACAACACTCTCACCACCCCACATTCTGGAGATTGATTCTATTCAATTTAACTGGGGTCCAATGCCATCTATGTATTGTTTTGAAGGTGGGTTCTTGAATTCTGCAGACATGGTTTTAAAAGGTAATCTAACCCATTTAGCATTCTATACTTCATCCTGTAACTCCAGTCCCATGTCAGTCCCAGACACTCCTTTCAAACATAACATGTTACCAGTCCATTCCAAAAGAAGTGCCTTATAAATACAAGATGTCACCACTTCTGAATTAGTGACCCTCTGTAAACCCTGTTATTTTCAGGCCATGTGAGTGAGTCCCTAATTCAGACCTAAACTGCTGCTGAGCAAAAGCAAAAGATATGGCTTTTCATCATAAGACACCAAAGCCATTTACAGAATAAAATATTTGAAACCTACTAAGACAGATATCAAAAGTTGATACAGCTCCTCTTTTCTTAGTACAGTAGTTTATTATTTTTATAGGTATTGCATATTCTATACTCTTGCTCCCCCTACTGGCAAATTGATAGTATATTTCTATATCTAATTTTAAAGTGTTCATGCTCCAATATAGGTAGGTGTTAAAGGAAAACTGTAAAATGCCAATGATTTTGTCCAGCTTCCCCTGGACCTGCATGGTTGCTTTAAGAAAGGCATTATTTAGACCTGTAATCATCATCTTATTAAGGTTTTGAAAAGGTAGTACTTAATCCAGAAGGGTCTATGCAAAGTTCTGCATCAACCCATGGAATAAACCAATCTCTGGCCTGGTAGATGTTTCCAAGACTACATTTATCTAGCTATCTCTGCTGCCATCCTATCCAAGTAGGAGCTTGCGTAGTAGCAGCAGGGAGGTTTTCCTAAGGAAAGGGTGCACCACTGCCTCCTTCAAGGCAGATGGCACCTCCCTACTCTCCAATGAAGCATTAATCACTACAGGGATCCATCCAATCTCCTAGAGCTAGTTTTAAGAAGCCAATATGAGAAAGTGTCAAGGAGGCAAGTGGTTGGTGGCAGTTCTTTAAGCAGCTTGTCCATATCCCCAGGATGCAATAATCTAAACCAATCCAGTATAGATGGAACAGATGTTGCTCTATAAACTTCCATTGGACTTGGCATCCAATGTCTCTGAAGTATCTTTGCAAAGTTGTTATAGCACACCTCTGAAGGCGTGAGAGCATCCGTTATTGGCCAGATCATAAAATCCCATTCACTATTCTGAAAAGTTCTGCCAGACAGCTAATTGAGGGTGCAATGGTGGCAAAGAAGTAGGCTTTGTTTGCTCCCACCACTGCTACGTGGTAGGGATGATGGTGCTTCCTCACGCATGTTTAGTCAAGTTTGCACCAAATCATACATCAACTGTACTGTAGTCTCTACCACTCCTATTTCACCCCACACAAATCACTGGAATACTGAGGCGATCTATGTGCTTGACAGTGAGGGCACTGCTCTGCTGTCATTTATGCTATGGTTGTTTAGGCATGTTACAGCAAACCAGCTTGTCTAATAAGGTAAAGGTAAAGGACCCCTGACAGTTAACTACAGTCGCAAACGACTCTGGGGTTGTGGTGTTCATCTTGCTTTACAGGCCAAGGGAGCTGGCATTTGTCCGCTCCGCAGTGTTTTTCCGGGTCATATGGTCAGCATGACTAAGCCACTTCTGGTGCAACAGAACACCAAAACCAGAGCAGTGCACAGAAACACTGTTTACCTTCCCGCTGGAGCAGTACCTATTTATCTACTTGCACTTTTAGGCGTACTTTCGAACTGCTAGGTTGGCAGGAGCTGGGACCGAACAACAGGAGCTCACCCCATCGTGGGGATTCAAACCGCCGACCTTCTGATCGGCAAGCCCAAGAGGTTCAGTGGTTTGAGTTTTTTGGGGGGGGGTTCCGAACGTTTTTAACCCAGAAGTGAGTGTTCTGAGCTCTCTGAAGCCTCACCACTGCCTGGAGCCAAGCCCGGACATCTGCAGGGCCTACGGGGACTCCACGAGCCAGGCCCCAACATCTGAGGGACCTACGGAGGCTCCGCAATCAGCCTCCAGCCGCAGGAGCTCTCTGATGACTCCACAAATGGCCAGAGCCAGGCCCCGACATGCGCAGGATGCCCAGCAGGTCGCGTCCCAGCCCCAAAGTTAGGTAAGGAACACTTACCTAACAAAGACCAAGAGCAGTGAAGCTGTTAAGAAAACAAATATGAGCCTGGACCAAAAAGCCCTTTACCAACCCTTGCCCCACTGCCAACTGTAACAAGATGGGTGGCATCTAGCCAGGTAAGCCCACCTACCCTGTGGGGGGGGGGAGTGTAAAATTTTGGGATTCTGCAAGTGATTTTTGGATTTGTTTATGTGCGTCTGCTCTGTGCCTTTGTCTCTGCTTTGCATAGGGTTAAGAGATATATTGATAATATTGTCCAATACCAGTTTCCAGACCACAATGCAATGACCATTTAAAAATAATTGACAATACATGGCAAATCACTGTGTGTGTGTGCGCGTGTGTGTCCGCGCACACACACACACACACACACACGAGCGCATGCACAGACATAACATGTGTTTGCCTGGTAGCAGTTGGCAGAAAGCTCGGTTTCATGAAGCCAATGCTGAGTCACTGACTTCCCTCCCAGATGTCGCAAAAGAAAAAAACCAAACATATTGCCCTATGTCGTTCACACCTCTTTCCTCCCTTGCTCCCGTGTGTGTGTGTGTCTGACTTACCACACATCCAATCTTTACACTCCCCACCCCATTTCCATGCTCTTTTGCCCAGCCGCATGCCCAATCTTCACTCCCCCCACCAGCAGCTATCTCCAAAGACTGAGCCTTCACCCACCCTGCATAGTTCCATGTTTCAGACACTGTGATATATCACTAAATCACAATGTTTAGCTGGTGATATATCATGATGTTGAAAACCAGATATCACCCGGCCCTACATAAGTACCTGAGTAACTTCTCCCCCTTGGTTAAAGCAAGCATACTGTGTCTTGTCCTATTTGAACCTGGGCTATTCTTTACAAGTTGTAAGCCAGAAATAAGCCAAGGTTTATTACTGGTTTATTTCTGGCTTACTGCTTAGTTTGCATGAAACACATAAACCACACTTTACATTCATACAATATGACAAAGCATACTTGACTAATTTGAGCCAAGGTTGGGGGTGGGGAGAATTGGGAGAAACTATTGTAATTAAAAACATGGTTTAAAATGTGCAATTGAGGCTTTACTATAGAGACGTGTCACTCTAGACACACGTGTGTTTAATTCTGGGGGCCATCAAATATGTTATATGAATTTATAAGTTATTTACTTTTTTCCTTTACATTTTTTACAGCTTGGCTGTTGATCTGCTGTGATTATCTTGTTCAGACTCTGCAGAGGATGAGACTAACAACAAGGGGAAGCAGGTAAACTGAAAGGAAGAAGTTAGCACTCACAAGTTTATTTGCCATCAGTTTAGCAGATAAAAATCTGCACTAATTTCTGTTACTTGTACAAAATTCTTGTTGTTGAGCAGAAAAATGTTCCTATGTAGAGCTGTGCACATCGTGCCCACCCCACATTAGGTGGCCTTGTATCAAGCAGCACATTCATTGTGAAATATTCCCCTTTAAAACAGAGTAAGAGAAATTACCTAGAGCTGCTTTCACTTTGCCATGCAGTGACATTGTCGTCCACAGACGCATCACTTGTGCCACCTGTGTCATCTTCCTGAGAGGGCAAGAAAAGAGAAAGCTTTGTCCATTTGCTCTATCACTTTGCTACAGTCACAAATTTGCTAGCAGAAAGATGAGTTCCCTCTCATATTGCACACCTCCTGTTACGTGTAGGTCTAAAAGACACTGTCAGTAACTAAACGGGGAAGGGCTGCAGCTCAGTGGTAAAGCATCTGTTTTGAATGCAGAAAGTCCCAACATCTTCAGGTAGGGCTGAGAGAGACTCCTGCCTGAAATCCTGGAGAGCTGCTGTTGCCAGTCAATGTAGGCAACACTGAGCTAGATGGACCGATGGTCTCACTTAGTATACAGCAGCTTCTTATCTTCTCAAACTGACTCAAAGGAGTGCAAAGAAAGCACCTGTGTCCGTCTTTTGTCACAAACTGTAAAATCCAAAGCTGAGCATTAAGCAAAGCTTTAGTAACTGCTCTTGACATGTTACCAAATAGTATGGGAAACAGCCCTACTAGAAAAATTAACTAATAAACTGAAACTGACACGGGGACAAACAGAAGAAGACACCTTCACCCCGGTACAGCTCCCCTTTATCACACACACAGCCCAACAGGACAATGACAATAATCCACCAACAGCATACAAATCAATATGGCTAACCTGATCCAAAACACCCACCCACCTCACTCACACACGAAAACAAAGATCACCACAGCCAATCACAAGCAAACAATCACACCCTAGACCAACCCCAACCTCTCTCACCACCAAAGGAACACAAGTGAACAACACAAATAACGCTGACACCAAACTCTACACACATTAAACATAATAGAAACACCGCCACCCGACCCCACCCCCATCCATCTTCCCTCTCTCCACCCCCCATTTTCTTCTCTCTTTCTTTTTTCTTCTCCCCCTAATGCCTCAACAAATGAAACGGATTTGTAAAAATGTTAAAGGGAAAAAAACAAACAAAAAATGAGGCACTACACTACTGTAAAACAAGAAAATCCTTAATAAAACAAAACAAACAAACAAACAAAAACTGCTCTTGACATTAGATACAGCGGGCGAACAGAAAACTGCAAGGGAAAACATCTTCCATGAACATCAAAGCTGCAATTACAGCATTCCAGAACTAGCAGAGTGCCAGACTCATAACAGCAGTCCTGTTAAGGGCAAGCAGCCAGCATTTCTCCCTCCAGAATGTTTGCTGACCTGCAGAATGGACTCAAATAGCAATAAGGGGAGATAGCTGAATTAATAATTATACTTAGCATCTGTAAGCATCTTATAGATGTGTTATAAGGATTACAATTAGATAATGCAAGAGAAGAGCTGTAATTCTTACAGCAACCCTATGAGGTCATACTATCACCCATATTCTCAGACAAGCATGCTTTGCATAAAGCCACCCAGTAAGTTCATGATAAAGGCAAGATTTGAATTGGGGGTTCCTGTTTCATAGCATCTTAGTCACTACGCTACACAAACTCCCAACCATAACAATTTGAGGGTGATCTAAATAGCTGGTAGGGGTTTTTGTACTGGCAAAACCAACCTGTTCACAGATCACTGCCAGCTCCTAATTGTCCAACTGAATTTGTCTTGAACTCATTTCCAGTCTTACTTCTGCTATGTGACAAAACTAACTCCAACATTTTGATCATATTTGGTAATGGTTTAAAGTCCACTTTTTATTTTAATGCTTTCCCCCACTAACACGATTTAATATAATAACCAGACACCTGACCTCAGAAGAGCTTTCAGAGTCTTCCTGAGTATGTGAGCTTCTTCGTACACCTTGTGAATGATGATCAAAGGTGGAGCGTGTTTGGTAAGCATGCTGACGCTTGCGTTGGTTTCTTCGCAAAGATCGCCCACTGCCGGGTTGATAATCACACTTTCACAGTACCAGGGAAGAACAGAACACAGAATTTGAGATTACAGAGGAAAGTTTGCAGCATCGAACATCAGGATCGACCAAATCTATGCAATAATGTAGGGCTGGCTCATGCCTGTAATGCTGAACTATGGCTCTCTAACAGGTGAGCATTTTTATTCAAAACCTTGGTTGAAGTATTTGAAACATCCATTTTAGCCAGTAAAAGGGTCTGTTTCATTATTCCAGCCTTAAATATTCATTGTGTAGATAAACTTCTTTTCCTCACTGTACCCAAACCCCCAAGTGTTTCAGGAGCATACTGCAGTATAAGCTATAATAAACCCACAACCAATGCAAATTAAACAACTGAGCTAAAAGCAGAAGTAGGGAACCTGTGGCCCTCCAAATGTCAGACTCCAACTCCCATCAGAGGCCAGAGGTGATGGGATATTTATTGGCGGGGAGGCCGTGAGTAGCACAGTGAACAGGACACCATCAGAATCCTTAACCTGCCTCATGTGTTCAACACAAGTTACAAACACTTTAGATCTGTACTTAGGCGGGGGTGGGATGGGGAACAAGAAACTTGGGGGAGAGAGGACTTCCGGTCGGCGCCAGCGCTTAATGGCGGTCCTTCCCTCGAGCTCCGAGGGAGGACTGCTCCGCAAGTTCAGGTCTGACCCGCTACGGCGAGCGGGGGACCCCTAAAATCACGGGTGCTGAAGCCCGTGAGCAAGGAGACTTGGCGGGCACCTTTGCGCCCCCCGGTACTGCAAAAGAGCCTTTTTAAAGGCTCCGGAGCGGCATCGGGTGTGAGCGCGGTGCTGAGAGTCGCAACCCAGCCTGCGGAGTGAAGCCGCGTCGCCATTGAGCGGAGAGCGCCGATTCCTTCCTGAATCTGAAAATTCGACCATAATACTCGTGAGTAAGATTGAGAAATTTAAATGGGACATCTAAAAATTTGGAAATTTGGCTGAAAACGGGAAAGGCATAAATCAAGGAAGTCTGCCTCCCCGGACTGCATGACATCTAAAGCAACGGAAAAGTAGAACTAAGTAGGAGAGCCTACCCTTTTGGGGTGAGTTAAAAAAACATTTAGCTTCCACGATTTGGTAAAAGAAGTTTTGAGCTGGAGTGTAAGAGTGGACTTTTAGAAGTTTTCCTTGTGCTGCATGTAAACCCCCCCTCCCGGGCCGGGAGCATCCTGTCTTTGAGCCTGTTGAAAAGGAAAGGAGTTTGACAGCTGTCAAAAGCTGTCAAACGGGCAATTTAAAGGGAAAAAGCTTGCTATTTAAGACCTCTCTGGATTAAATGTGATACAATTGAACTGAAGTGGTTGGAAACAAAGAAACAAGCAGCGAAGTGTGAGATTGTTGGGAAAAGACTACTAACTAATTAGATTCCCCCTAGGGGGAATTCTGAGACATTACAATGGCTGCGGATGGAAAGTTACTAGCTGAGATAGAAAGAGCATTTTATCTTGTGGGAATTTTACAAGAGCAGAGCCTTGCAATGAATAAACAACTTGTGGCCTTGACTTCAGGAATAAGTAGCTCTGCTCAATGTAATGAGGAACTGTATGAGAAAAAATCTGCAGCTGAGTTGGAAGAGATATCGCAAGAAGTGAAGCAGACAAAACAAGTAAAGGAGAGAGAAATGATGGAAAATACTAACCAACAGAAGCCTTTACAAGTGGTTTACAAACAAAAAGACCTTTGGATTACATGGATTATAAATCTGCAAAAGAAGCGAAAGATGAAGGAGGAAGCCCCTGGAATACTTGGAATTCAAGAATTTAAAAGAAAGAAGAAATATGACTGGGACCTCCATTCTGACCTTGAATATGAAGGATTGGTGGAGCTTTTGCAGCAGTTGTTCTTAAGTGTTTCTGAGGGAATAAAATCCGGCCTGATTGGGACAGAACTCCTTAGAGATCCAAAGACCAACATGAAGGACTACCAACAAATCCGGCGGAGAGGAACGGAAAGAGACTTGAAGGCCTCGGACGTGAGGAATCCAGGCTAAGGACTGTTATTTTGGACACATATTTGGAAGGGACGGAAACCAGGGATGGGAGGGGGAAAACAGAAATTTATGTTTCTTTTTTTTCTTTTTTGGGTCCAGTTAATATGTTCATATTTCATAAAAATTGTGAAATCGATGGAAGGGAATTTGAGTCCAACTTAGGATAAGGATTAAAATTTTTATAAAAGATGTAATATTAATATGGTAAGAAGGGAAAATGATAACCTGCTGATACAATTATGGGAATTGGGATGTATGAAGACTAACAAATTTAGGGAAATTTAAAAGAAATTGATTTGAAGAATTAGACCGAGGAGTTGCTGAAGAGGTATAAAACAAGGATGCAGGGAGGGGAAGGTATGGGGAAGTCCGAGAAATAAGGTTAGGAAAAAATGGCTATGAAATTATACATGTTTATATGTTTGTATGTTTGTGTATTGTGTATTGTTTGTGTATACTTTGTGTTTAAAAAACTAATAAAAATTATTTAAAAAAAAATTAAAAAAAAGAAACTTGGGGGAGAGAGACTGAATTCTTATAAACTATACAGTGGCACCTTGGTAGTCGAACAGCTTGGGTCCCGAACAAATCGGCTCCTGAACGCCGCAAACCCGGAAGCGAGTGTTCTGGTTTGCGAACATTTTTCGGAAAATGAACATCCGAAGCAGCTTCTGATTGAGTGTAGTCGAACAGCTTGGGTCCCGAACAAATCGGCTCCTGAACGCCGCAAACCCGGAAGCGAGTGTTCTGGTTTGCGAACATTTTTCGGAAAATGAACATCCGAAGCAGCTTCTGATTGAGTGCAGGAAACTCGCCTTAGTTTTTGAACCAAGCTGAGCCTTGGTTTTCGAACCGTTTCGGGAGTCAAATGGACTCCTGGAACAGATTAAATTCGAGAACCAAGATACCACTGTACATGGGGGGGGGGAATCTGGTCTGATGTTGCCCTGAACACTTAGACAGGCAAAGATTGGGGGGGGGAGCACAACTCTGCCCCTGCTGGCCCAAACTGTGGGTGAATGAGATTATATTTAAAACTGGTCTGATGTTTAACAGCAGTATCTTCAGGCTTGAGGGCTGGCTGACAGGACACTGGTTCCCCAGTTGGAGGAGGAAGAGCCAGCATGCAGCAATCAACAATTAAGCATTCAACACCCTCTGTATCTGCCCTGTCTCATGCCTTACACCATACCTCCCATTACCTGCAACCACTATAATTGGAGCCTCCTTGCTCTCCCTACCTAATCCCTTACTCTTAAAAAGGTAAAGGACCCCTGACAGTTAAGTCCAGTCGTGAACGACTCTGGGGTTGCGGTGTTCATCTCGCTTTTCTGGCCAAGGGAGCCGACATTTGTCTGCAGATCATGTGGCCAGCATGACTAAGCCACTTCTGGCAAAACCAGAGCAGCACACGGAAACGCCATTTACCTTCCCGCCGGAGCGGTACCTATTTATCCACTTGCACTTTGATGTGTTTTCGAACTGCTAGGTTGGCAGGAGCTGGGACTAAGCAACAGGACCTCACCCCGTCGCAGGGATTCAAACTGCCAACCTTCTGATCAGGAAGCCCTAGGCTCAGTTGTTTAGACCACAGCACCACCCACGTCCCCAATCCCTTACTCTTACTCCCAATTTATTAATGTATATGATTATACATGGAGTTTATCCATTTATCTGTGTAGTCTGAGGACATGAACCCACTTGCATCATTCTTCCTAAGATGAGGAGGCCCAAATGAGGTACCCTGCAGTTCCCTGGCTCTCTACTCAGAAGTCAAGTTTAAAGCTACGCTAAGCTTATTCATCATATTATGCACCACCAGCCTCATTCCCCTGCAATTTATGTGGAACTTTGCTCTTTTGCACAAGCTTGGATACTCCCTAAAATATCCTGGATGCCTGTGGTATTTCAGCCCTTCCTCCCAATAGCACTGCCCACCAAAGCATTAAGATCCTATATCTGTGCTTGGCTAGCTAGCTCTTAGCATGGAATACACAGGATTTCTGAAAACAAGCAAAATTTCTCACCCTTTGTAAAGTATGGGAAGGCTTTCTCTTCTTTTCAAGAGTATACAGATGAATTTCTAATTCGCCTTTTGCAGCTCGGCATTCCTCTTGAACTCTTAAGAAGATGGTAAGTTTGGGTTAATCTTTGAACCTTTAAACATGTTCTTAGATTTTCATCACCCTGGCTTCCAAGCTTTTTTTCTTTCTTCTTCTTTTTTTTTTTTTTTGCTGGGGGGGGGGGGATTCAGAATTTTCCCCATCTATTGAAGCTAGTGTACTTCAATCTAGAATTCTATATGCACTCCTGCTATGTGTTCATTTCAACAGAGAGATTAGATCTGCATGCACAAAAGAAAGACGCAACAGCCACCACTTAATTGAACGGGGAAACTGTTCTGGATGAGAAAATTTGATGCGCAAACTGGAGCTTGCTCGGCCAGGATAGTTGGTGGATAAGTGTGGTCTTTATTTTGCACTTAAAGAACAGACGTCAGTGCAGGGTGGCTAAAAATGTAATCCTGTGCAATATCCTGTGACAGGCCACAGTGAGCACAGCAGAGTTTATTCCTGAGTTCACATGTATAAGATTTCATGCGCAAAGCTACCATTTCTCAAAACTGCAAATTTAATGGGATAAGAGAAAAATATTATGCTTTTAGGACTTTTTGAGCAAATCAAATGGTCTTTGATTAGAGCAGTTGTGGGAAACCTTTCCCAATTGGTGAGCTGGATCCTGAGCTCCCCCACCCGGGGAAGGCCACTTTGACAGGTGAGGAGGACTGCCCACCTATCAATCACCTGCCATCAGCATGACACCAAGCAGTCAATTTTTTCCTCTGTAGCACAAACTGAGCTCAAGCTGTGCTGCAAGGAAAAATCCAATCCAAAGTTACCACTGATAAGCTGATAAGGCACTGTTCAAGCCTGGCTTTTGGCTGATTCCAACCAGTTTGCTGTTACTCTCAAACAGCTGATCTGCAGCGACAGCAAGTCTCCCTTGCGAAAGAATAAGCAGGAGTGCACTTTAAGGCTCCAAATTGTTCACTGGCAGCTACATCACAAATGATGTCAGGTGTGGGGCAAGTGGGTGTGGTCTTGGAAAATGGCTTTGTGGGCCAAACAGGGACTTGTACTAGGTCTAATCAGGCCTGTGGGCTAGAGGTTCTTCATTTCCAGATTAGAGGGATCCTTACAGCAGCGTCTCTAGGAAGGGGTAATTTATCAAACAATGCCCCTTGCAATTCTACAAGGACTGGAACAAAGGTGTATAGAGTGCTGTGTTTCTGTGGTGCTGCAACTAGTGTATTCATGTTCCAAGTCCAGCAAAAGCAAGGGAACACTAGAGAAAAGCAACACAGCTATGTAAACACTATACTTGGGGCCTTGTTGCTTAACCCACCAAACCACATCTCTCTGCTGCCTATGTCTGTCAATTTCAAGTATGAACTGGTGAAGAACCAGCCTTGACCTATGCATTTGTTACCTGGGCTGTTGTGACATACTCCCTCAGTGAAGATGGAATAATTAAAGCTTGGTCACTCCCTTTCTAAAACAACCAAGAATTCAGATATTCTCTGCATGTGGTAGTGTATAATATAAACCTGCAGCAAGGCCTCTTGATGCTGGGGAGTGCAGTGAAAACCTATTCCCCAAGCTAGGCAGAAATCAAAGCTGAGGCACAATGGAGACAAAAACTGTTTCTATTAACATACATTCAAAAAGGATAACGCTTGAAGGTTTCACTATTAAAGGCACAGTATTTATTTTCTCTCTGAAATGCCGTTTTAGGTTTAAACTTCACTTATAATTCTCTACAACAGAACTGTTTCTATTAAAAGTATCTCCTCCTACAATTACTATTTGCTTTCCCTCTTCCTAAAGTATCTCTATCCTCTTTCTCAGTCTATTTCCTCCACCTGAGGAGGAACAGGCTTATCCTGCCAGACAGACCCCTAAGCACACCTAGTGTGCTTTTGTAGCCAGGCTCTATCTGCCATGTAAACTTTTAAATTTCTTTACCAGCCCCATACACTCCTGATTGGCTGTTTCTCTCCCCTGCCATGACTGGCTAAGGGTTTCCAAGATGATGACCTACAGGTATGTCCGTCAGTTAAACCTCCTACTTTGGCTTAGGTTTAGAAAAGCTAAAGAAGGGAGTTGGTGTGACAGCAAACAAACAAACAAAAAAACAAACATACTCTGCTGATCTGTAACATGGGTGAGTTCCTTAAAACGATTCCAGGAAGATCATGGCACACACATGCATAAAGACAAAACCTGAAATAATTCTAAACATTGTTTTTACCTGCTAACCCCAGGATGCAGCTCGTTCACCACCACTCTCCTACTCCATGCCATGAGATCCCTCTCCGTGGCCATCTGACTTCTAGGAGCGTTGTGGTGCATCTGCCGAACACCTTCAATTTGACCACTCCGTCTGAGCCCAACATTTGGGGGGAAGCTATATCCAAACTTGGACTTCTCAAAGCTACCAAAACAAACCAGAAGACTAATCAACTTCCCCCACCGTGTTTGTTGTATCAAAAGAAGACCAATGAACACTGAATCCTTCTACACTTGTCTAGAAGAATAACAGGAGATGACTCTTACTGTTAGCATGCTGCAATCTGATTTGCAGAAGATTTGGAGTAGCTTCACTTCCATTAAGTCTTCTCTGATCTTGCTCTCGTTGTAGCTCCCTGATCATTCCATCAAGGATGCTTTCTTCTTGGTCATTAGTTTGCTGCCCAATCACCTGCTCCACAACTTCACCATCACCTTTGCAAGAAAAAGAGCATCAAGTGAGCATTCCGAGATGTACAACAATACTTTATTAGAGTGAATGCCAAAAGGTGTGCCATGGGAGACCCCGAAGCAGGTTACCATGTGCCCATCAAGAACCTTGTGCTAGCCAGTGAGCCCGCATGCTAGTACTGAACTGAACTATTTTTCCTTGACACACAGGTGAAAGAAGAGCCCCGTGCAACTCAGAAGACTGCATTCTCCATTTAAAGTAAGAATTAAACGTAGGAACCGCTTGCTCATTAAAAAAAAGGAACTGTCGTCTGGCTAGGTGTTTATGTATGCACAATATTCATCTTGCCTGCAGGTTTAGGATCCTATCCAACGCAGAGCCTGGAGGTCTCTTTGGAGGTCAAGGCTTGTGATCCTGCAGATAAACCTTACTCCATCTGGACTGGAAGAATCTCACAGTAGTTTGAAAACAACCTGAAGAACCCCATCTCAGGGACAACTCACTCGTCCCCCCATAATCCATCAAACCCTTCTTTCAGTTCCTGATTCCCACCCACCCCCAGGTCTCAAGAGCAAATGCAGCAACAGACCTGACAGGAAGTCCAAGGGGCCAGAGGAGCACCTACTTGGCTCACAGACAGTTCTATTGCTGCAAGTCTACGTGGAAAGGACTACTTGGGGGGAGGAAGGTGATCTTGCTGCAAACAATGACCTAGCAGAGCAACTGACAGTGATTATAAGTCTTCTCTGAACCTGTACTGGGTTAACATATCATCACTGTCATCATCTTATTTGTATGCCACCATTCCATTCCATAGTTAGAAACCATGACTCCAGCTCCAGCCTGGATCAGCACCAACTGGAAGCAGATCACCCCTATGGATTCAATCTTTTACACCTTTGACCAGATCTCATTTGTGTTGTGTATTTGTTGATTTTTCCAAGTCTCCCTTGTATTGTGTAATTTTCTGGCCTCACTCTGCTAAAACATTTTTGCAGGTGATTAAACCTATCTATAAAGGTTAAAACATAATGCACCTGATGAAATGGTACCTGACCAACAAATATGATACAATAAGTCTGTAGGTCTTTGAGGTGCCACTAGACACTGTTTTTCATTTTTCTTTATTTTATTCTGAAACAGACTAACACAGCTCCCACTCTGGAATTTGTTCCTAAAGGTATTATTGTCACACTTGTCCTAGGACAGTGCTACTAAAAGTGGTAGTCCCTGGACTACTGCCAGTCCATGGGCCATCAGCTGCTAGTCCATGATGAGTTTCCTGCCCTCCTTACTGAATGTGTGGGTCTCTTGCAACAAGCAGCAGATTCTGCCGCCACTGCCACCTCTCTTTCTGCTTTTCACTGCTTCCCACCAGCTTGAGCAGAGGTGAGTCTTTCATGGAGCACTAGGCCTTGCAGTCTTCCATGCCTGACTGGGCAGGTATGATGACAGTGACAGCTATTCTCTGACCAGTCAAGAGAGGGGTGAACGAGAAAGGGGAAAAGACCTTCATCAGATCACCCAATAAGAGTTGTGGGGAGAGGAAATTATTATTTTGACTTCTTGGGGGGAGGGATTGGACTGCAGTCCCGTGTGAGTTCACTTGAGCCCTGTATAAGGAAGCACCTACAGGCTGTTCTAATCTGAATCACAGGAACAGGAGTGTAGCCAGGGATGGAGCTAAATTTTTGGGGCCCTGAGGCTTGAAATGTTGTGGGGGCCCTTCACAACCAGCAACAAACTACTTCCTCAATAGGGTTTTTCCACAACTGATCAATTAAAAAAAAAATTAACTACTACATCTGAGATATTGATTTAAATTGCTGTACAGAATTATCTCACATGTACAAGTCACTGGTGTGAATAAAAATTTCCTTTGCCTTTTAGTTTCCAAGCTACCTTAACACTCCACCTTTATAACATCTGAACTACTGACTCTCAAATTTCAGGATTGTTGAAATATATATAACAAAAAATTAATCAATTTGAGTTGTGTGACTCGAATTGGGTCTATTTTAAGCAAATGGGCTAAAGTCAGTATTAGGGCCCCTCTAAGACTAGGAGCCCTGAAGCTTAAGCTTCATTAGTTTCATAGTAGAGGACGCCCCCGAGTGTAAAGGTAAAGGTACCCCTGCCCGTACGGGCCAGTCTTGACAGACTCTGGGGTTGTGCGCCCATCTCACTCTAGAGGCCAGGAGCCAGCGCTGTCCGGAGACACTTCTGGGTCACGTGGCCAGCGTGACAAAGCTGCATCTGGCGAGCCAGCGCAGCACACGGAACGCCATTTAGCCCCCGAGTGTAGATGCATGTAAACGGATCAGGATCCTGTCTCATGAGAGCCTTTTCTTTGGGAAACACTCAGCTGAATCCTGAACATCTCTGCACATTCATTCACAGAAGCTCCACTGCATTGGCTTACTCCCAAATACAAGGAGTGTGCATGACACCTTTCTTCCCCACTGCTAATCTTTGCAAGCATATCTATCAGATAAACAAGACCAGAATATTTTTCAAAATTACTTTTTTAAAACACACATCTACACACACTTTCCCAGATTTATTTATTTTTTATTCCTTTTCAATAGCTGGTAGTTAGATGTTGTGGGTCACCATGGATGGGGTAATGCAATACAGATTTATCACAAATAATTCTGATTGTATCTGTATTGTATCAGTTTTCTAAATCTACACTCTGGTGTTAACTTCATTTCTATTGGAGTCCGTATGGAAAGTGACCACGCCCCCTTACTTCTGTCTACATGCAACCCAGTAAATAAGATCTTGAAGCCTGGTAACTCTGATCAGGCCTCTGATGGTATTTTGAAAAGGATTAGATAGTCCCCACAATTCGAAGGGACCAAATTCCTGGACTCAAGACAAAATGTTACACTGAGAACAACCCTTAGTAACTCACATTCTATTAAGGTAGTAATAACAGCTTACTCCCAAGTAATAGACAACTGTGGTACAATAGCTAAGTCTGCATCTGTTACCCTCTCTAATCCCTCCCCTTGGTTTGACCAGGAATGCTATACAGAGAAAAGATTGCTCAGAGACCTTTGCAAAAAGGGTGACGATAAAACAAAAAAAACCTATTTTACTCGTAGGAAGTTATATAATGAACTTATTGCTAAGAAGAAGAAAATATACCATCAGAATAAATGGACACACTTAATAAATGCAGTAAAAGTGAATGATCATAAAACCTTCTGGCAAATAACCTCTGGCTACCAGAATACTATTTTTTAATTGTACCTACCATTCCCTCCCAAACCTGGATGGACTACTATTTTAAAATACTCAAAATCTCACCCTGCTTTCTTCCAAATGCTGATGAGCCTGTCCTCTTTACTATGCCAAACTTGCCCCCAGTAAGCTCAGACAAAATTATGGAACTTATTGCACAGCTAAAACCCCGTAAGGCCCCTGGTTCTGATGGGATTTCTGCTGAGGTTTTGAAAAAAGTATGCACAATGGTGGACATCACCACTTGCTAACCTTTTAACTCTTAAAGATGAATATGGAATTATACCATAATCGTGGTTAACTTCTGTAATCATCCCAATTTATAAAAAAGGTGATCCTGAACAGCCGTGTAAAATGGTCTCCTGTCCACTATAAGTAAACTCTAAACATTTAGAGCGCTATCTGTTGGATTGGATTAAAAGGAATAGAATTATTGGTCCTTAACATTTGTAAATCAGATTTACAAAATAGAAATCAACTATTGATCACCGTCTCTCACTTGCCTTTCTAGCGGATAAGTATATGAAATCCGAAAGGGGAAATTTATATGTATTCTTGCCCCACATTTATTTAATCTATTTTTGAATGATATGAAACAACATCTACTCGTTGTGAATGGCAACCCTCCTAGGTTAGGATCTAAGGCAGTTCCTATGCAGTGGGATCTAAGGCAGTTCCTATACAGTGGTACAGTGGTACAAACAGTCCTGCTTACGAACACATCGGGTTACAAACTCCACAAACCCAGAAGTAGGCGTCCCGGGTTGCGAACTTTGCCCCGGGATACGAACGCAATCCGCTTCCAGGGCCACAGGAGGCCTATGTAGGGAATGTGCGCCTCGGGTTAAGAACGCTTCAGGTTAAGAATGGACTTTCCAGAACGAATTAAGCTCGTAACCTGAGGTACCACTGTACATTTATATGCAATGACACTGTCCTCCTCTCCTGCAGGTGGCGCTGTGGTCTAGACCACTGAGCCTCTTGGGCTTGCCGATCAGAAAGTCAGCAGTTCAAATCCTCACGGCGGGGTGAGCACCCGTTGCCTGTCCCAGCTCCTGCCAACCTAGCAGTTTGAAAGTATGCCAGTGTAAGTAGATAAATCGGTACCACTGCGGCAGGAAGGTAAACAGCATTTCCATGTGCTCTGGTTTCCATCACGGTGTTCCGTTGCACCAGAAGCAATTTAGTCATGCTGGCCACATTACCCGGAAAGCTGTCTGTGAACAAACACCAGCTCCCTCGGCCTGAATAAAGATGAGCGCCGCACCCCACAGATGCCTTTGACTGGACTTAACCATCCAGGGGTCCTTTACTCCCTCTCTTTTTTTTAACCTCTCCTGCACCAGAGTTCTAAAAGTTCTAAAAGCGTACTTTCATTACTGTCAAGGAAATCACCTATCGATTGATTATTGCCAAAGAGTTGGCATCCATCTAAATTGTGTATTGGTAATCAAGAAATCGAACAAGTTAAAAGCTTTAAATACTTAGGGATCACCTTTTACAATCTAAAATGGGTGACCATTTGTGCTCTGCAGCACAAACTAAACAATTCTATTTTCTTGATGGTAAACAGAATGTGCCTGCAGCGGTTAGGCATATAGAGCAAAAACTGTATTGCAACTCCTTTATGGGATTTCCTTATGGATAACTGACTTTAACAACCAAGTCGAGGGTGTAGAGGCATTCTTCTTCCGACAAATTCTAGGGGCTCCAAAATGTGTCTCCTCTCTGGCTATATGTTCAAAGTTAGGCCAGCATCTCCTAGAATCCAGGGGCTAAATTATAACTTTCAAATACTGGCTAAAAATTCATTTCAATACAGACCCGGAATGCTTACTAACTTCTTTATTGAGAGACACACATAATTCTACATCGTTTTCTGATATTACCCTCAAACACAGGCAAATAGGGATTGCAATAGATTCCCTTCTTCTATTGGACGACTCACAAATCTTCTCTCTCATCAAGCAGAGGCTGCTAGATCATGAAATCCAAAAACTCCACCCCTCCCAGCCTTTTGTATGTTCACCTGCTTACTTAGGATTACAGCCCAACCATGGAGTAATACTTAATTACTTTTCCAATTTAGAAACTCCATCGCATCACAGAGCTTTTATGCTAGCTTGTCTAAATGCATTCCCCTCATCTGTATTGTTTGGAAGGTTTCAAAAAATAGCTACAACTACAACTTTATTTTGACAAATTTTTTTCTTGCTTAACATGGTTTCTAAATGACGAACAATAAGGTCACAAAAAGAATGCATTAGAGACAAAATCTGGTAAAGTAAACCATAAAATCAGAAGAAAAAAAACTTATTTAAATAATATCTGATGAAATAAGGTGTTACTCACCAAAAAGTCTTCACTTAAAGTAAGCCCAAAATTGCATTCAGAAAGATTTACAGTGGCAAGCCCAACCATGTCTACAAGGAAGTAAATCTTACTGAATTTAAAGGGGCTGGCTTGTACATAAGTGGGTTTAAGACTGCATCTTTACTTATGAGTAAACAAAACAACAACAAAAAACAAAAAAAAAAACAAAACAACTTTGACATTAAATTCAGAGGAAAGACTGCTGGTCTGCCTCATCAGGAGACCTATGTTATTACTAATATTTTAATAGATTATTTTTAATGTATGGTTTTCCCCCATTCAAGACAGAGAGGGACCCTTCTTTCTTGAGTTAACCCATATCCCAGCCTTACCCCAACCTGATGCCATCAAGATGTTTTGGGTTGCAATTCCCATCTGTTCCAGCCAGCATATATTGATAATCCAAACCATCTGAAGGCCAGCAGGATGAAGACTGCCATACCCCAAAACAGAAACTTCTTAATAGGCATACTACATTCTAAGAAACTTCATAATAGGCAAGAAACACCTCTTCATTTCAGATTCTGTGATTTAAATATGGTATACCGTTTGCCACATATCCCAGCTGAGGAATGAGTTGCTCATCGTTACAATTTTCCCGCCCTGGCACCAGTCGCTGGTATTTTGTGGGGTGAGGATTTCCATCCACATCAACTAAGAACGGGGGAGGCATGAGATGCGGCGCCTGTTGAGTTTGTTCATCTAGGACATAGTTATTCGCATCACGGATCAGAGGGCGGTAATCTGTGTGGAAGAACATCTGGTCCGGGATCTACATCGGACACAAACTTAGAAATCAGTACAAATACACAAACATTTCTTAATTCTTCTCATACAACGCATACTCTGTTAACTGTCTTTCTGGCTAGAAATTATCTGTCAAATGGTAATTCTCACCTTGGTCCCATCGGACTATTCAGACTACTTTAGAGGAGCAAACCTGCATGTGAACTATTTCTGTGCACCACAAAAGCTTAGAATTAAGTGTCTTTTCTGTGTGGTTTTCATTTTTTTTAAAAAAAAGCAAGCACAGTTCTCACCCTTAGGACTACAAAGAAAAGCTTTAATGAAACATGAGGGTGGTATCCTTCAGAAACCACAGATATGAGGTCCTAAGTGGTCAACTTCAGGAGAAGGAGTTTAACAAACTTATTTTTATAACCAATTCACTGCAAACTGTGTAATTTTCCAGTTTTCTTCCAAATTCAACTCAAGGTTCTGGTTTTGACTCAGAACCTTTATGGAGTGCACATCTCGCTAACACACTTTCACATCCTTAAATATTTTTAGGGCAGTCCTGCTCAAAATTTCCGCCATAAATGGGTAGGTTAAACTTCCTAGTGGGCAGAGCAGTTTTTTTAAATAGTGCCCCTAACCTGTGAAATACACTGCCCAGGAGGAACCTCCTTGGCCAAAACTTGCTTTCTTAATCATTTTGAGTAATATTATTATTAATAATATTATTATTTATACCCCACCCATCTAGCTGGGTTTCCTCAGCCACTCTGGGTGACTTCCAGCAAAATTTAAGAAAATAATAAAATGTCACACATTAAAAACTTTCTGATACAGGGGTTGCTTTTAGATGTCTTCTAAACGTTGTGTAGTTCTTTATCTCCATGACATCTAATGGGAGGGTGTTCCACAAGGTGGGTGCCACTGCTGAGATGGCCCTCTACCTGGTACTTCACTTCTCGCTGTGAGGGAACCACCAGAAGACCATTGGCGATGGAACCTCAGTGAATGATGGGGGTGGAGATGCTCCTTCAGGTATACATGGCCAAAGCCGTTTGCGGCTTCAAAGGTCAGTACCAACACTCTGAAATGTGCTTGTAAACATACTAGGAGTCACTAGCTGGTTTTTTAATTATATTTTTTCTTTAGAAATTCCTTTATTGTGAGTGCAAAGAAGCTGCTGCTTAAGACAAAGCATGAGCATGTGCACACACACTTCTCATTTTCTTAGCCTTTAAAAAACATCTGTATCCTTTTCACACCATTATTAGCAGTTTATAAATCAAGGACTCAGTTCCTCCAGACATTATCAGTTAATCAGTCCTCAAACCAGCAGCTATACAATAAACCCCACAGAGTAGGGTTACTCTAGAGTAATTAGTTCCAGTCTGAATGTCTCCCACAGAAGAACAGCACACACAATCCATTTGCAAAGCTAGGCACTTTTAACATCCCATTAACTTTAAGAGAGATTTAAGCACATTGTTACATTTTCCTTGCAATTCACAGGACTTTAAAAGTGATTCATTCTGGCTGGATGATGTCAAATACTGTTAAACACAGAAGGACATTAAGAGTCCACCAACTCACCTTTTCATAACTATTATTGCATCCGAATCCAAACAATAGTAGGTGCCCATGGGAATCTGTACAGGCAAAGTGCTGACCATCAGGGGAAAATTTACAGTCAAACACTGCACCATGGCCTTGGCCCTCAATCTGTAAAACACACACAACACCCATTTGGATCTGCTTAACTTTTCTGGACAAATTTATAAGCTGAATTTTCCTTTCTTTTAGGGGTGTGTACCGACAACAAGATTTGGTTCTGACCCTGATTCAGCACTTCAAAAAAACAACCATTCTCAGCTCAAAGCGTTCCAGACACTGCCCAGTTCTGCCCAGGTTCAAGTTCACTTTGGAGTAAAGAAAGGGCTTTGTCATCTTCCATTCAATTACATTGCCTGCAGATTTCATTCACAATTTTTGGCAGAAAATTGATGAAATTTGTAAGCAGAGCACCTCTTGCCAAATCTCAAGAGGTTAGCTGCAACAGTTCCTACAAGAATAGCATTCAAAGTTTGAGGGAGGGTAAAAAAGAAATAATGAAGATAATGCTAGCAATTACTATGACAACAACTAAAGGCATACTATGGCTTGGCTGGAAATAAATAAGAATCACTTGACACACAATAAGTACATGCAAAAGCACACACAAAGGGACCCGAAGAATGTAAGACTGACAATGGATGAATAAAATCACTTGAGACAAACAGACCACTTAACTCAAAGAAACAGACCAGAACTGAGGGGGAGGGGAGGGTCCACCGACTAAAAGGAACAGGTGAGCAAGCACAGGAGTCAATGTAATCAGGAGCAAATTTGTATCAACGGGAAAGAAAAAGAACTAGGATTTGAAAGTAAAGGGCAGGGAAAGGGAAGGACTGGGCTAAGCTTAGGTTAAAAAACACCCCTTTGCTCTTAGTGTGCCACCAGAACTCTTAACAACATCTCTCCCACAAAGCACTTGGTTTTTGCCAGCACCTGGCAAAACATTTCCCTCTGATTACAAATTAGACCTGTTAATCACAACAGAGTTCTCCCCCACCGCCTTCTCACCCTGCATGGTTTTTTTATATTGTAAGCTTAAGGGACGCGGGTGGCACTGTGGTCTAAACCACTCAGCCTCTTGGGCTTGCCGATCAGAAGGTCAGCGATTTGAATCCCTGGGACGGGGTGAGCTCCCGTTCCTCGGTCCCAGCTCCTGCCAACCTAGCAGTTCGAAAGCACGCCAAAAAGTGCAAGTAGACAAATAGGTACCGCTCCGGCGGGAAAGTAAACAGCGTTTCCGTGAGCTGCTCTGGTTTCGGTGTTCCGTTGCACCAGAAGCGGCTTAGTCATGCTGGCCACATGACCTGGAAAAACAGTCTGTGGACAAACGCCGGCTCCCTTGGCCTGTAAAGCGAGATGAGAGCCGCAACCCGTGTCGTTTGCGACTGGACTTAACTGTCAGGGGTCCTTTACCTTTACCATTAAGCTTATAGAAACTTTACTTCTATTTTCAGCAAGATGTATTTTCACCAAGGACAGCAAGGGTGGGTTCTCTCTGCTTTGGTATGAGGTGCTTTATAAAGATCCTGCACCAACGCAGATAAACACACAGTAATTCTCAGATCTGTGACTCTTAATCATAGGTCATGAGCTAAAGCCCCATGTTAGGCAAAAGGTTTTCTGTACTGCAGGGGGTTGGACTAGATGACCCTAGGGTCCCTTCCAACTCTACAAGTCTATGATTCTAAGATCTGACCACTCATTCTGCCCATCATACAGTACCATGTTAAAGTAATTGCGCATTTTTGCTCCTTTCTCGAGGTCCCAAATGAAAATATTCCCATCATGGCCTGCAGAAAGCATGATCCTTTGGTCAAATGGGTGAGCTTCCAAAACAAACACTTCATCATCATGGCCCTGCAACAAATGCAAAGAAAGTAATATTTTAAGAAGTAGTTACTGTCCCATATAAACTTCATGTTACATTCCCCCCTCCCCTGCTCATCACATACACACAGGTGACCAGTGCCTCAATCTTATGAAGGTGGTCTGCATGTTTCTGTGGTCTACCACCTCAGACTGAAGGCTTCGATGACAGAACATTCTTTCATTACAAAAAGGTGTGTCACCCAGACCATCAGATCCTTGTGAAGTTTAAAGAATCCTACATGTCCACCACTATGCTGTTGCTGAACTAATCCCTGGTTTGGGTTTTTTTATGATAGCATTGATCTTTTATTAGTTGTTTGCAATTGTGTATTTTATATTGTGCTTTGTAAACCACTTTGCAATTTTTATGAAAACTGGTATGTAAATGGAAAAATGAACACCCCTAATAGACACAAAACTAGCATGTCAGAAGGGTTTTAACACAGAAAACTACAATGTCAGGTAGAAGCCCATATTCAGGGACTTTTTAATATTTTGGAATTGAGAGAGAATGGAGGCATATCCACACTGACCTCCTGTTTAAAGACAAGGCAATTGTTTTAAAAAGTGGGTAGCTGGAAATGCAAGCAACTCTGCTCATATTGGAGCAGTTCAAATTTGAAGTGGGGACAGGCTCCACAGATATTTGCTGCTGGGGACTGAAGGGCACATCAGCCTCCTGAGTGCAAGTGATAGCTCTACACCAGGGATGTCCAACAGGTCGATCGGGATCCATTGATCAATCCCCGGAGCTTCAGGTTGATCACGGTCGATCATGGGCTCCTTTTCCTTTGCTTTTGCCTAAGAGCATCCGCCCCCTCACCCCACTCTCCATTTTCGCTGGAAAGGAAGACGGAGTTTTCACTGTGAGGCAGATTGTTTTCATAGCGATCTTTTGGTGAGCAACTAATCCCCTTTCCCCTTTACTTTTGCCAGAACCCCCCCACAAAAAAACGGAACTGTCCTCCCTAAAAAAAAGTCAACAACTTTGACCTGAACCCCTCCCCCAAAAAGGGGTAGATCACTGCCACTTTTTTCCCTGTGAGTAGATCGCAGTCTCTTAGGAGTTGGACATTCCTGCTCTACACAACCTAGAAGACAATTGTCCCACTTGCCTGCCCACTGCTCCCAGTTCACCCTACTCCCAAAGGTCAGGATTTTGTTATTGGGAATAGTCACACAGGAACAAATCAGGCTGCTCTATTGTTCAGCTTAACAATGGAGAATCTTACTGAGAATACTTGAACACAAGAGCAGCTTACTTTTTTGGCCAAGCAAGAATTCACCTATCCCTGCTCTTCCTGGGATCAGACAGAGTAATATACATGCCTGTCACAGCATTTTCCAACCCCATGGGAATTTTTTGAACACAACAGGTATCTGGAAGGATCTGATATTCTCATATATATATATATATATATATATATATATATATATATGAGAGACTTTAATACTGGGGGTCGGGTTTTAGTCCCACTTATATTATGAAAGTTCTAATCGTATTATGAAACACAAGTAATCCCCTCCTGAACAATAAGTGGTATCTTTTATTCATTCAATTGTAAACACGCTAACATTTTCTCAGAAGTGCCTCAGAAGGGTTCCTTCATTGAAGTTTTGGTAAAAAATATAAAAATATTTATAATTTCATTAGTTAATTGATCAGTTAGAAGGCAGATGGATAGTAAACAACAGGAAAATCTTATTTGATTGATTAACCATCCAACCAGCCAACCAACCAACCATCAATCGGTTAGAATGCAGGAAAAATGTTAACAGCTTTCTCCTCCCATTAGGAAAACGATACTAATTCGATCAATTATTTTGTTTTCTGTATATTTGTTTTGATGTGTTTCTGATAAAAGATCACCAGTCCTTGGTCCGCACCACTCCTGGACTCATCTGATGCTGTTTGCAAGTTTCTCAGCTGTTCTCCACAAGCATGATCAGAATCTTAATTCTTAAAGATGCCAAAGCTTAGTGCCAGACCCCAGTTCAGTGGCACACAACAGAGAGAGCACTAAATGCAGATCCTCTTAAAAAGCTAATCGACTGAAGGTCTAACTTACAGTTAGGTTGTGAAGAAGCTGCCCAGTAGTAGAGTTCCACACTTTCAAAAGGAAATTGTTGACTGCTGTAATAACAGTAGTATCATAACGATCCCAAGCTACCATAGTCACCTTCAACTTGGACACCTTGTCTTCCCCAGACACTTGGCTATTTCTGAGAAAATGTAGACGTTAAAGAAGAATCTAGTCAAATGAAACTTTTAAGTACCAACTTAGAGCCAAACTAAATGTGACACTGGGAAATCTTTGATCAGATTGTTTTTTGAAGATGTTAAAAGCAGCCATGGGCTGTGATCCTAGGAACTTACCCCTCCCCATCCACCTTTTGTGCAGCTGCCCCAGAGGAAGAAACTACAGGTTCCAAAAAGGTTACTAGTCCCGCCCACCTGTCGAAGTGGCCTGCCAGGTGGGAGTGAGGAGCTGAAGATTCGACCCACATGCTACATCCTGTTTCCCACCCCTTTCTTTAAACAAACAAACCCTTCCAGTTATACATCATACTTGGCCTTAATTTCCAGATGTCGGAAACAGATTATCATCACTAAACCATTGTCAGTAAAAAGCTGGCCAGATCAAAACAATACAGTCAAACCACGGCTCCCAAATGCCTCCATTTTGGAACGTTTTGGCTCCCGAAGGCCGAAAACCCAGAAGTAAATGCTTCGGTTTTCTAGCGTTTTTCAGAAGCCGAAAGTCCGACACAGCTTCTGCTTGAGTGCAGGAAGCTGTTGCAGCCAATCTCAGTTGTCAAACATTTTGGAAGCCAAATGGACTTCCCGAATGGATTACGTTCAATAACCGAGGTTTAACTGTACATGCAAACAGTAGTATAAAGGAATTTATTTATTTAAACCTAACATTTTTCAGCCGCCAGAGAATACATGTAGAAAATGCAAGTTCTGTGAGCATTACACATTCAAATTTTGCTGAATCTTTAGAGGAAACAAGAAATGTAGCATAAGTAGCTTATAAAATAACCAAATGCTCTCTGAAAAGATCTGCCTTTTATATTCCTGATAATTATCCTGTTTGGTTTAATGCTCAACACAGACTACAAGGTTCCTTTCTGTGGAAACTCTGTCAGATTCTAATGCAAAAAAGAGCTCCCTTCTAGTGCAACTCACTGTGTCTCAACCAGGTACAGTTAGTTCAGAAAGTAGGCCAGTGCTCCCCTCTAGAGAAATGCATGTGCCCAGTAAGATGTACTGTAGCTTTACAAATTTTTAACAGCAAGCCCCATGCGCCACACGTAACATGATGATGGGAAGCAACCAGACGGGTGCAGCTTAACGCTACTATGAATACCATGACAAAACTTTCCATAGGTAACAAGATGGTTTGGTTTCCCCAGAAACCCTGAGTTACACAAAAGCCACAACAGGAAAATGGCTAGAAGGGAGAGATGCTGAAACAGGTGAAGAAAACGAACATTTCTGGATTTCAACCACAGAAATAAATATTACTGTGTTTTGAACATTTGAATTCCTTTGTCTATTGAGGTTAAATTATAAACATTTTTCTGCCTTTTACCCAGTCATCTTAGTCGCCATCTCCAACACTATACTCTTCCATTCTTGCTGCTGATATTGCCAGATTCTGGCTGTTCCATCTCTGCTTCCACTGACAAATCTTAGTCTGTATTTTCGAGTAAAAGGGAAAAGGAAAAAAGTTACATGTGTAGGGCTCTGAAGCCCCTCTGCTTTGCTCTCCAACCTGCTTTTCCCCTACCCAGTTCAGAATTTGGTCTACTGGCACCCTGAACTCCTGCATTTCCACTTTATTATTTTTAAGGGCCACTATCTTGTGATTGACCCTGCACTGGTACCCACAAACACACTTAACACAAAATGCAGCACAAGGGGGCAAGGTATGCATGTGCCTTTGATTCAGGGTAGCTTCACATGCACGTTCTAAATGACAGCAACATCTAGAAACAGCTTTCATGGCTGAACAAGCCAACCCTAGAACTCTCCTAACTCTTCAAAATGCAATGCTTTATACCATGTGGTCAGTTCACAAGCTCACCAACCAGATATTAAACATTTAGTAAGCATCGGAACAAAACTCAACTGAACTGGCTTCTAGTTGCTTATCAGATGTTTTTATATAGTGGCTAATTAACAGGTAATATTTTCATTAATTTCCTTTAATTAAAGTCACTTAGTGAATATAAGTGGGATATACAGGTTTAAAAAAGTATAATACTGAACAGCTATCCACCACACTTCACAATGCAATTCAAAACACTTTGTCCCAGCTGAGATGTCACAGCCTAACCACAGTTTGGCTACTCATGCCATTTTTCAGCTTTGCCTCTTCAACCCATTACATGCCCCAGTTAACTATTTCCTGGTTGCAGCAAACCATAGTACGCTGTTCAATCCAAGCCAAAATTGGAAGCGCAATTTAGACTGCCGTTTTCAGTTCTGCTTTGAATCAGAAGTCCAAACAGATAGAAAGTTGCCATTGATCAGTTTAAGATAAATCCCTTATTTTAATTTAGAAAATGTATATACTGCTTGACTGTAGTAAAGCAGTTTACAAGACGTTTGTAAATGACTGTTTAAAAAAAATATTATGGAAAATCAAATACAGCAATAACATCATGGGAGAAGAACAAAAGAAATGCTTACCTGCCTCCACTGTTGCAGAACTGAACAGCAACTACTTTGTCCTTAAAAAAATAGAAAATAATTGTTTTCATCAATACTTTTCTCTACAGTCAGCTTATGTACAACCCTGCTCTCCTCCATCCACATGTTTCTAGAGTGTCCAAAACATCTTAGCAGCAAGTGTCAACAAAACATGCATCAGCCCTTTATCTGACTCACCTGTCTTTTGCCCCAGTGTATGGCCAGCATACTGTACTGAATTCTATGAAGTCACAGGCCAGTGTTAACTGAACAAGAAGAAGGCCGGCCCTGTGCCCATCGGTTCCTGAAGATCATAATGTATCTTGTGTACCTATTGCTCCCTGAGGTCACTGGCATACCACTTTCAGCCACCATGTTTCATTTGGATACCATGCATGCACAAATTAATACCAGTAAGTATTGGCACTCTATGGAGGGGCACCTTCCTATTTGCTATCCCAAAACACTGGTGCTTTGATCACCCACCACTCCACATAACCATGACATTGGCTCAGAGCACCATGTACTTTGGTCATGGCATCCCATGGCCTTGCTGCTTCTGTCAAAAACCAAACAGACACATATCACTTTCCTTTACAGCAAAATATATTTGCCAGAAAAAGAAACTACACGCTGCAATATTTTTGCCAAAACTAATTCCACCATTATAAGTGCACTGTATTAATCTTAACACCATTTCTGCTTATTGCAGAAGGTCCTGGTCAATTAGCATGAAAGTTTTGTTACGCAACCATAGATTAGTCTCAAAACAGCAGTCTTTGCACGCACAAAACTTCATGGAAAGCACCATGCTCCCTAGGCTGCAAAGGCTCCCTTGTTTGTTTCAAAAGAGAAGCAATTTTTCTTGAATGTGCCGTGAAGCAGCCTCTTCCACAGAAGATAACAAAGATGTTCTCCAGACAAGAAATTTTATCAGGGTAAGCCTGTGTTAAAATGCACAACCTAAACTTCTGAGCAGGGTTTTTTTTAAAAAAAAAATGCAAGTGTGATTTCCTGCTTCATTCTTACCGTATGAGATTCTAACACAGCAGTTTTCTCTGGAGTCTCAGAACCCAAGTAATATATTCTTATCACATGGTCAGTGCTCCCTGTTACAACAAACATACCACCTAAAAAGCAGGAGTTGGGCAGGAGATAAAGACAAGAAGAAAAAAATCAAGAAACCTTACATTTTTCATTCAGCAAATCATGATTGTTGTTCAAATGGTATTGCCAGATTTGAAAAGTAACATTTCAAGAGAGCAAAATGTGAACCATGTGATGCATTTTTCCTTCAGGAGCTGTGAATTCTGAAAGTGTTTTATTATTCAAAGAACACTGACATCTATATTTGGCAAACTAAACAGATAAAATGCACACAATTATCCAAAACATTACCATAGAATTACTGCACCATGGAATGTCAGACTAGACCCTGCACCGCCCCCTCAATTTGGCACAATACAAGATCATGCTAAAGGTCCACTAAAATGGCATTAAGAACCTCAAGTGCTTTGCTGAAGTACTTTTTATAAAGAACCTAAACAGCAAGGAATGTGTAACAGTAATTCACCTTATTTCAGGTTTCAAGAGAAATACTCAAGGGTGGAAATCCTAGTAAGACAAACTGCCTACAAAGTAAAGCTGCTAGCAAAATCAACCTGTACTAGAACTCAATATAGATTTAATGACATAGTGTTGTGAAAAGTTAATGCTTGTGCCTGAAGCTGAAAGTTCCATCAATTATATTTTCCAAGAGCAACCAATGTCCTAGATCCCAATCATTTCCTAGATATTTTTGTCAATTAATACTGGCTCTAGTTAGAATCTTCCTGAAGTCTGAATTTTCCTGAAAAAATTAGTTGTGTTTTCTGAACTAGTTAGCGGTTTCAAAAACAAGCACCAACAATTTTTCTTGCAGAAAACCATTTCCTACGTGGTTTCTGTTCCTGAAATATATATACATACCAGAGCTGAAAGATGAACAAGATATTTGAACGCCAGGCCTTGACCTCTCAGCAAATTTGATTGGACGATCCCTGAAATGTAAATATGAAGCACTTTAATTACTTCATGGTGCAAAGGTTATTATATAAACCTGTTAAGAAAACAATTTATATTTGTACAATATGAGCTGCTAGAACTGCAGCAGTCCATAGAATACGATCCTGGTTACTAACATGCAGAGAAAGTAACATCCTCGCAACGTTAACACGTTTGCAAAATAAAAATTGGTAAGGTGTTTGTCTGCAGGCTGTCAAAACTAAACCAAACCTGCATAAAGTTCGTGAATACAGATGTACAGAATCAGTTAAGTTATAGTTTTCCTAGAAAGGGTTGATCTTCTGCTTTTTCCCAAAGGCTATGAATCTACTGGAGCCACTCGACAAAAAGAAAAGCCCCTTTTAAAAAAGCTATTTTTAAAAATCCCAATTCAACTGAATACAAAAATTGGTGTGCTAGAAGTTTGAATGGAGGGGAACCTCAGAAATGCAGGGTAAATGTCAGCCAGCCCTCTCTATCGAGCTATTCTTAATGTTCTTTTACATATGGAGAGGGTAGAAACATCTGACCTGTGGCTGGGATGTAGCCTACTGCATAAAGAGTTACATGTGTACTTCCACACACTTTGCCTCTGGTCACACCCATTTCTTCCTCTGGTGCTGCCCGTCGCCGGCATGTGGGCCCCCCCAGAAGATTGCTCAGGAGAGAATGCAGCTTTCAGGCTGGAAAAGGTTCCTCACCACTGGCTTAGGGAAAGACCAGTGAGCAAATTATGCCAACAGTACCCATCAGATTACAGTCTACCTCTGCACTCCCACCTGAAACTACAAATGTTTCAGCTGTGGGACAAAATCTGGCTGAGTCAGAAGACTGAGGTTGCAATCCTTTACCCAATTTCCTGGGAGTACTTTTTAGTAGAAATGTATAGAATTGCACTGTTAGGAATACTCTTCAAGAGGGCAATTTCCTATTCACTGTGCTTGTAGGCTCTACCAAAGGACTGAAGATTTCAATGAGGATACACAATGGTAAGAATCTACAAAGTTTTGTTAAAACATTTGACTTAGCAAAAAATTAATTCATCTCTTTTCACGGCCATATCAAACTGCAGCCTAGAATTCCATTCTTTTACATAAAATTCTTAAAAGGGGGAGGTTCTCGGAGCTTAATCTGAAGAGACAGCATGGACAGAGCCATGCCAAAGTTCGGGGGGGGGGGTGATGCAATCCCTGATGGCATTAGATAGTCCTGCTTTGCAGGAGTGTAAAAATTTAGGCAAATCAATCAATAGAATAAATCTCTAGGTTGGGAAATATCTCTGCCTCAGCTTCCACTCAGTTTAGCATTGGAACGGAAACTTTTTCCAGCCCAAGGGTCACATTGCCTCAGGGACAACCTGCTAGGGACAGCATGCCAGCATTGAGCAGGTCCAAAGACAGAAGTGGGCAGTGCAACAGGCATGACTCTTAGCATGGTATAGCAGTCTGTATTCCCATCATGCAAAAGTCACAAGTTTTACATACACGCACCTCCACTGAGGCAATCAAAAAGCATCATCACAACTCAATTTCATATTTGTCAAGCAAAAGCACTCAAGGAGGCCACAGAGCATGGCTGGTGACCCCAGGAGAGTCTTAAGGACCAGACAAAAAGGCCAAGAGAGCTGCAACTGTCCCCTGGGTCTAAGGTTGCACATCCCTCATTTAGACCATGTTGAACAAAATAGAACAACGGTTCAGCTCAATGAAAAGGAGCTTCTAGGAAATACAGGATTGCAGTAGTTCTGAATTGCCTTTTTTGTGGCAATTTTGTGTAGTGGGCTTGGGGAAGGAGGTGTGAGGGTTCTGACAGGGTCCTAGAGTCCTCCTTCCTCCTTCCCAAAGCATAGTTAGCACTCTTCCAGCTTTGGGAAGGAGGTGGAAGGGCTCTAGGAACCCACCCGAACCTTGCACCTAGCTTAGCCAGCTTTAGAAAAGCAACACAAGGGGTGGAGGGGTGACAGATTTTTGGGCTCACTTCCCCCCAGTGGAACAATAGTGTGCTGCCTGTGTTGAATTACTCTTGCAGCCCACTTGATAGAAAACTTGGGACAGCCCTGGTTTAAACCCTACAATGCTCTACAGTGCCCCAAGGTACATATGGTGAAGTTTATAGCACAGCAGAAGCTAAGTCATATTGTGGCACACCACCAAGCTGACCTGAGAAAACACTGATGTGTCCAAAAGCAGAAAACTGAGCTAAAATAATAAATCTAATGAAATATACGTACTTAAATTTCATTGTATCTGAATGCCATTGCCAGAAGCAGATAGCCCCATCAGCACCTGTAGAAGTGAGGTATCGAGTTGTTCCTTTTCTTGATGGAGAAAACTAAAGATTTTAGAAAAAGATATTGTAAATTGGTTTTAGGATTTCCCCTCATTCTTCCAGCTTAAAAAAAAACAACTATTTTACTGGGCATATGAAACACACTCACTGAATAAATATTGTTCTGGACTGCTTTTGACCATGAGAAAGTAAGCAAAAAATAATAAGGCTAATCAATAAAATAGGCCCATCACAAAATTGTTTGATGGATGGAAATTTCAAATTTGAGGTGGATTTAACATGCATTTGGTCAAGCAAATGTAGTCTTGTATCTCAGTGCTAAACAAAAGCAAAGGAAAAAACAACAGTGTTCATCTACTTTACCTGTATAGAGGTTATTGAAGCTGTGTGGCCAAGCAGCACTGCAACTGGTGCACAGGTTCGAAGACACCAGACTCTGACTACTCTGTCACAGCTGCCTGCAGCAAGGAGGGTGTTTTCATAATTAACACCCATGTCAGAAATTTCAGCCGCATGTCCTCGGAGTGTCGAGAGCAAACGTCCGTCATCTGTAGCCCAAATTTTCACCAAGCAATCATCCGAACCCTAATGTTTCACACAAAAAACAATATCCAAAGTATAACATGCAGAAGTGCCACTGTTTTCACTATGACCCTAGAGATGTATGTATCCCTTCTTTTTGCTAACTGCCTGAGTGCCATTAGGTTTGGTAGTAGTAGTAGTTTATCCCTGGCCTTCCTCCAAGGAGTGCAAAAAAGCATAAACAATTTCCTGCACCCACCCACCCTTTATCCTCACAACAATCCTGTGATCACAATAGTGAATGTGTTTTGGTCTTGGGTCAACCCCCGTTGCTTGATCGTTTCTTAGCACTGCTGCCACTGGAAAATGATTTTAATCCAACAATTAAGCATAATTATATTGTATAGTTTATGGCTCATATGGTCACTGCTCAACAATGGAAATAATGCTATTTAGAGATAGCATTCAATAATGTCTGGGATATAGCCCTGTCTTAATGTCATACACAACACAGACAAGTGATGAGTGTTGCAGTGAGGAAAGACTGGTTCAAGAGGGTGGGTGGACTATACTGAAGCATAATCACATAAAATGTAATGATTCTTTTAAGGTAATTAATTCATTTTCCGTTATCTATTCTGAGTCATAAATAAATAAATATTAAATACCTTCATTGGCATTTAAAATCACTGGGACAATTAAAAGAACAAGGGTGAAGCTGTCGAAGGTCATAAGGTCACACTGAGTGTCTGAGTCTATACTAATTATTCTACTTTCTGCAACTGGGTTCTGTTATGTTTACTCAAAGCTGCTGTTTTGTTTTCTTGAAGTCAATAAAAAATATTTTTAAAAACCAGCATGTGATGTTGTGATCACCCTGTGATGTTGGACTGAGAGAATGAAATTGACCCAAGGTCCACTAGCGATTAGGGATTAGAACTCAGATCTCTCTGATGACTTAGCCCAATACTCTAACCACTACAACAGAATGCTTTCATGCCCTGTTTGAGAGTGCCCCAGAGTCATGTTTTGACTGTTGTGAGAAGCAAAACAAATAGCTAGATGGATCTCGAGTCTGGTCCATCCTAACTTGGAGGGCTTCATGCTGTCCTGCAAAGAAAATGCTACAGTTGTATGAAGGACCAGCAGCTTCTGTAACATTCCCGTAAGTTGTTTGTGAGCTATAAAAGTAGCAAACACGAAACCAAGGACATTACATAACATTCCTCTTGGAAAAAGTGGAGTTTCTAGATGATTGACTATAAGCAAAATATAAAACCTTTTCATTTTCTTTTTAAAGGACACATGCATTCTTTCTTTTCCTTTTCTTTTTTAGTAAAGATCACATAGTCTTCAACTGGTTGGTTGGGAGCCACTGCCACAGAGGTATGGAACCTCCGAACATGAGTTTAATTGGGGCGTAAGGTCTCATCATTTGTCCTAAAGACCAATTCAGCCAAATACCCAATATCATATAGATATGACAGCAGGTGTGGGCAGGTAACTACAGGACTTGGATGAAAGGGTGCCTGCAAAGCCCCCTGCACAGGGCTGTTGGTGCTTGGGAAGCACGGTACAGGCATTTTTGCAGAAGTTTTATTTCAAACCACATAGGCAAAAATGGGCCACCAAGTGATTTACAGCTTTACAACTGGGCTGTCCCATCCAACTGCCAAGCTTGACCCACAAGTCTGTGTGGAGATAAAGATCCAGCCCCCTGGTCAGCTCCAGTTCCCCATGTCCAGATCTAAGGTAGATCACAACAGAAGCATTACCTAACACTATACAGATATATGCTAAAATATATGAGGGGTAAATAAGAAATGAAGCCTCAGATGTGCTTGATTTAAAGGTGGCTCCTAGGTCCGAAAACGATATTATGAGAGAGCAAAACAAACAAACAAACAAACAAACAAAGTCAAGCAATGTTTTGAAATATTGCAGTTTTCTTCAACTCACTGTGAAAATTCGCCGCCCAGTGCGGTCAAAGGCTACACAATACACAGAGGACAGATGCCCAAGAATTCTCTTGTGCATCTTGATGTGCTGGTAGAAGGACGAGGGGAACAAATGGCTGAAACGCCCATATCCAGTTGTTTGCCTGGCACAGATTATATTTACTAAAAGCGAGGGAGAAGGGAAAAACACAGTTATCCCAATGACTTAAACTGCTGTAAATCTACTTATCCACCAATAAAACAGAGGCTCGCATGGCAACCATTAGAGCAGTATCAGGTGTAACAACAGGTCTGGCCTACTTATGGCTAATATTAGTTGAAAACATGTAAGGCCATCTCGGAAGAAGTCATGGTGGGTGCAAGGGGACTACAGAAGCGCCACCCTCCCACTGAAAAGCCCCTACACAGTATAAGGGCTGTTACAATGTGTTGGCATCAGTAGTACAGGCCTGCCAGTGCCAGATTTATGGTCTGCAGGGCCCTGTGTATGGTCCTCTATATTCTTGCGCTCAAAGGTGATTTCACCAAAACATGCTGGGTATTTCACTACAGTGGTACCTAGGGTTAAGAACTTAATTCATTCTGGAGGTCTGTTCTTAACCTGAAACTGTTCTTAACCTGAAGCACCACTTTAGCTAATGGGGCCTCCTGCTGCTGCTGTGCCGCCACACGATTTCTGTTCTCATCCTGAAGCAACGTTCTTAACCCGAGGTAAAATTTCTGGGTTAGCGGAGTGTGTAACCTGAAGCATATGTAACCTGAGGTACCACTGTATTTTATTAAACGTATTTAATGCCATTTTGAACATTGCCTCTTTTTTCTGCTCTTGCTTATTTTGTTAAGCCTCCTGTTACTGTCATTTAAAGCTGTTCCTTTCAAAGTTTATAGTTTTTTAAATAAGCACTTTTATTTTTGAGCCAAGCTTCACATTCCGTCACTGTTATACACATACATATCCAAAGTTGGGTTTTGAGATTTTTTTCTTGTTTATAAACAAAATTTTAAAATTATTTATTTTTACTAACGTTTCAGGTTTTATTTTTATTTTTGCTCAGTAGAATCATTAAGTGTTATCTACTCCCACCATAATATCTTTAAAAGAGGTCATCTAGATGGTGAGTCAGTGGATGCTGTTTGCTCACAATCAGGATTTCATTTACTGCCATAATTCAGCATCTACAAATTAAACAAATTCCCCCAGACAAACATGTCTAGGGAATGAATAATCCTGCCTTTACAGCAAGAGACTAGATAGATGTATTTTTGTCCTTTCCATTTTTTTATAATACAACTTTTTCTTACAGGAAAAGTAAGTGCATATTTTAATGCATTCTACATGTACCATGGTAGGAATTGCTGATGATACTAATAATGTTCTGGCTGGAAAAAAAATCACCTGCCCCATTATATTAATGCTCTTTCTATGATGCCATAAATCTAAGTTAACTTTTGGGCTAAAAGAAAAATTTCCAATATAAGAAGCCACTCCATAAATAATAAACATGCACTTAAACACTGTAAGTTATTCCTTACCCACATTTGGTGGTTTTGAATAGTTTGAAGGTACTTCAGGGGGCCTTCCTCTGTGGAGAGCTGCAAATGCTGATACTTTCCAAGCTGTGTGCCTACAATCTGTGTGAATAAGATTCAAAGCTGGTAAAAAACTTGAGCTGAATGCTTGAGTTCTACAACCAATACTGCTTTGTTTTGCCAGAACTATGAAAGCCGTGACTTCTCTGAGCTCGTTCTCATTCCTCCCTTCTCGGCAAAGCTATTTCTGGGAAATGCTTGTACTTATTCAGAAAAAAGCTTTCAAGAGACGCAATGTTGCCTCTTTCAACATTTCATTTCAACTAATTACTTTCTTTCTGTCTATTTGCCCATTTATTTTCAATGTTAACCAGAAGTGCAATTTATGTAAAAAACACAGAATAACATGTTATTTTCACTGCTTGCTTTATGTTTGTTAAGTTTTTTTTATATAAAGTTAAGCCACTTTCAGGGCCTCTGTAAAATGATACTAGAGGTTTTAAAATATGACAAAGGAAAAATGCCACATATCTTACCTTTGGCTGCCCTTAGTAATGACTGCCGTCCCACTCCCAGCAAAGTCTGCACCCCAAGCACACTCTGTGGGATCTCCTTATCCAATAAAGGTCCAATGCGTTCACAGATTTTGAGAAGATAGTTTGGAGGGATGTGAGCATTGGCTGCCACCTAAATTATTTTTTAAAAAGATAATTAATGTAAGAGCTTTTCTTCTATTTCCCCAAGATATCAGCATTTTTCAGTTTATTGAGTGCCAAGCTCCTGTTTCGTATTTATCTGATTACAAAGTGGAGGGAAATGTCCTCTATCCCACGCCTAGCACAGAGAGTACCTCAAAATACAATGCAGTAAAAGATGAAAGGAAGCAGCACATCTGCACCAGCAGTGGTGCAGGTACAGCCTTTATATTCACTGCAATTGGGGAGGCACTTTTTTCCAAAGTGCTTAACTTCCCAAGACTGTTAGGAATTATTGTTGTTGTTGTTTAGTCATTTAGTCATGTCAAACACTTTGTGACCCCATGGACAAGAGCACACCAGGCACTCCTGTCTTCACTGTTAGGAATTTTTTAATTTTTTTATTAAAAAAATAAGCTAGAAAGCTTAAAAGCAAAAACAAACAAACAAACCCAAAACTGTGCCCAGTTCCTAAACTGCTGTGAATAGCAGTCTCCTTTGAACTAGTGCTCTCAACCACAACATTCTCAGGTGAAGAAGCTGCAGACACAGAGGACATCATGGAACAGAAGGAGGGTTTGCTCTCAGAATCAGTCTCAAATATCCCTATCTCCTTGGGAGTTCCAGTATCAGAGAAGCCTGTGATGCCAGTGCCTCTCTGCTTGCATTCCTCAGACTTCAAGGAATCTAATTTGGAGGCCACCTAGAACTTTGGCCTCCCTCATGCCTTTTAAGAGTTGAGACTCTATTCATGGAGCAAGGAATGTTGCTCAGAGGAAGCTGCAATCCTCTTTAAGGCTGACTGGGTTTTTTGCTTGTTGGAGCAACATTCAAGCCTGCCCTGTCCAACTGCCACTCAGAACTGCCCAACTTGCTTGTTGCCTTTTGAATTTTGATCCCTGCTTTGCCTATTCTTACTTAAATTGACTGACCCTCTGCATGTGTGTCCACCAACCTTTCCTTGACCTGACTTTGCTTCCTAGTTTTAGAACCAGTGCTGGCAGTATGTGGCCTGTTGTTCCTAGACTCTGTGCCAAGCACGAAGGCCACACTTGGGCAAGAACCCAATTCCACAGCTGGTACTGCTGCCTAGGACACAACACAGTAATTGAGCTAATACAGTAAGCCTGCAACTTATGCACATTAAACTTGTGTACATTCAGGTTTACACACATGGCAAAAGATTAAAAATTAGAAAGGAGGCAGAAAGGGGCAGGGTGCTAGGGAAAATGGCATTGGCAATCCCAGCCCCCACTGAACCCAACTATACACGATTCTGGCTTTAGGCACGATCTGCGGAATACAACCACATAAGATTGAATTACTATACAAGATTCTATGAATGTGCAGCAACCCCCAATAAAGCTTCAACCCTCCTCCCCCAACGTCTCTGACTATGTCTTGATTCAGGCATTGCACCAAACTGCAACTTGTGCTTCCAAATGAATAGGCAAATAGGAATTTGGCAGCTGCTTATCTGCTTTCATAGAAATCTGTCTCACACCAGATCAGACCATTTGTCCATCTAACCCTGCGGCCTGGTGCACACTTAAAAAGCCATGATTATCAAGGTCAAAACCGCGCCAGAACATACTGCCTGGTTGCTCCTGCTTCACTCCTCCCCTGGTGATCATAAAGCCATGGTTTGTTCTTGGCTTGCTGATCATAGTTTCTTGGGGAGAAAGAAACCACAATCCTGGTTCAGCTGTAACTACAAGTCAAGGCTTCATGGCTTGTTCCTTCTGTCTGTGTCAGTGGAGAAGCCAAGTGGGAGTACACTGGCAGCAGGCACGAGCAGTACTGCTTAATCCTGCAAAGCCATTGGCCATGGCTTATCATTATGTGTGAACTAAGCTTCTGAATAGCAGTGACTATTTCTTCTTGGGCAGAAATCCTTTCCCAGCTCTACTACATGAGCTTCTTTTTAACCAGAGATGACAGAGACTGAACCCAGAAGCTCGTTAAATTCAAAGTACATGTCACCAAACTTTCACTTTTAATCTGCTCAGAAGTCCCATTTCTATGGTATGATCAACTCAGAAGATGTAACAATGTTCATAACTATGGTATCAGGTCAAACAATAATTAAACCAAAACACAATTTGATATTATATAAATTTATATCAAGGAACCAGCTAGTTGAGAATATCTGAACCATATTTAAAAGATTACAAGTGTTCCCCCTCTTCCACTGCACACACCAAACTAAATTGCATTTAAATGTCACTGTTAATACTAACTACGGCTTGAGACAGGTTTTGAAGAAATGGTATCTGCATATAATTTCAACTATTTAAAAACTTTTTTTTTTTTTTACCATACCTAACACCAGTAAGTAGCATTTCTGTTCAAGCTGTAAAGTAAATGAAGTGTGGAAAGACAGTATATATAGTGTCTGCCAATAATTATAAACTTTACAGCCCTCAATTCCCCTGTGAGGATACCCTGAGTAGACACAACATGGAGGAAGTCAATCTCTACTACTGAACAGATTTTTTTTATGACGGTGAACTAAACATTGAGTTACACATATAATTCTTCTCTGTGTAGACAAAATAGAAAAGGGAGTTAATTCTTACTTATAGCTATTTCACATAAAAATGGTTGCTTTTGCCTCTATGTGATCCTTCCTCAGGTAGGGAATTATGTGGGAAAATGTACTTTGCTGAAATATCCATGGTTTTGGAAACTCCAAGAAATGCAACAATAAGGGTAATCACACAAGCACAATGAAACAGGCTTGTTGTAAGAGTCATAGAGCAAATATGCAACCAACATACTAATAATAATAATGTAATAATAATGTCCGCTTCATGGATCACTGCCCTTGCCATGGCGAAGGGGCTTGAATAACTCAGAAGCTATGAGCTATGCCGTGCAGGGCCACCCAAGATGGACAGATCATAGTGGAGAGTTTCGACCAAATGTGATCTACCTGGAGCAGGAACCGGCAAGCCACTCCAGTATCCCTGCCAAGTAAACTCCATGAACAAAGACAACAGGCATATAGTGCCTGGCGTGCTCTGGTCCATGGGGTCACGAAGAGTCGGACACGACTAAATGACTAAACAACAATAATAATAATGCAATAATAATAATGTATTTCTTATACCCTGCCCATCTGACTCTGATGCCACAGTCACCAGGAAAAACAACAACGGCAAGAACACCAAACATTAAAAGCTTCCTAAAACAGAGCTGCTTTCAGATGTCTACCAAAAATTATATAGTTCTTTAACTCTTTGAAATCTGCTGAGGACATTCCACAGGGCAGGTGTGACAACTGAAAGTTTCCCTGTAGTTTCACTTCTCACAGTGAACAGACTGACAGAAGGCCCTTGGAGCTGGAACTCAGTGTCTAGGCTGAATGATGGGGATGGAGATGCTCCTTCAAGGACAGGCAACGGCCGATTTATGCACGTCCAATTGGTGCATGATCCCACACGAGTGCACAGTACCAAACCCAATGTGACCCTAAAATGTCACTAAAAGAGCGGAACAGGGAAAGCAATGGGTTGGGGTAGAACGCTTTACACGGGCCCTGCCAGCATAAGCAGGGCTCCATGCAAAACATGGATTGTCTGTATACAAGGCTGGAGTCCTGTACTACTTTGAGCACACAAAAACCAGTAGAAAATAATACCATGATATGCAGAATTTAAAATAAACCTAAGCTGACTGGCTGCAGGAGCTTCCTGCAGCCAAACAGAAGCCGCGCTTTGGTTTCCGAACATTTTGGAAGTCAAACAGACTTCCAGAACGGATTCCATTTGACTTCCAAGGTACAACTGTATTAGGAACATTTGGCTATTCTCTTCACACAAATTAAAATATGTTGCGTAATCAAATTTTGCATTTTAATGTTATTCCAAATTCTAACATTTATAGCTCTTTAAAATTCATATAAAATGAGGATTCTCATAATTCTCACATGATTATATAATTTAGCAGTGAAGTCTCTTACTATTTATTGTTAATTCACCAAAGAACGAAGGGTGGAATACATAGGTCTCCCATTTCTCCCTTCACAATACCCCTATGAGGAAGCTTAGGGTGAGAAAGTGCTGCTTGCCCAGGTAGGAATTTAAACCAACTAAGTCAGGAATGGAGAACCCTTTTCGGTCTGAGGGCTGCATTTTTTCCTGGGCAACCTTATGGGGACCACATGCCAGCAGGGCAGGTTCACAGGCAAAAGTGGGTGCAGCAATGAATATAAGCTAAATTCTACACACGCTCCTCCATATCCTCCATCCAGGCAAGTGAAAGTCATCATCGGTCAAGGCAAAACCACTCAAGGAGGATGTGAAGCAGGGCCTGTGAGGGATGTGGCCTGAGGATAGCCCCAAGAGCCAAACAAAGAGGACTAGAGGGCTGCATTTGGCCCAAAGGCCTGAGGTTCTCAACCCCTGCTCTAAGGCAAACATTCTCTAGCAACTTTGCCACACCAGCTCTCTTGCAGACAAGGGAGGGGACAGGGATAACAGATCAGAACAGCAACCTGCCTAAGGTTACCAAGTAAATCCTGCGGGTAAGCTAAAATTTGAACTACAAACTTCACAGCTTACAAACTCATTAAACCAGATCTCAGCAAGTATCTAGCAATTTACACCTTCCCAATAGTAACAAATGCCCAAGGTAAAGGTAAAGGTACCCCTGCCCGTACGGGCCAGTCTTGACAGACTCTAGGGTTGTGCACCCATCTCACTCTATAGGCCGGGGGCCAGCGCTGTCCGGAGACACTTCCGGGTCACATAGCCAGTGTGACATCGCTGCTCTGGCAAGCCAGAGCCGCACACGGAAACGCCGTTTACCTTCCCGCTAGTAAGCGGTCCCTATTTATCTACTTGCACCCAGGGTGCTTTCGAACTGCTAGGTTGGCAGGCGCTGGGACCGAGCAGCGGGACCGCACCCCGCTGCGGGGATTCGAACAAATGCCCAAAGTAGCTTATAATACCATGTTCCTTCAAATCCAAAAGCTACTTAAAAAGCTAC